ACGTGATCAGTCGAAGAAGCCTTCTCCCATCACCACTCTGATGATAATTAAGAGGAATTTTCTATCCCACGCGATTCTGCATGGCTTCCACTCGTCTCAAACACAAATGAGTAATGTAAAAGGTTATTATGATCCTCCAACTGAAGTTTTACATCTTGCGACTCTGTTTATAGGTCCATCCAGTTTCTTCCGATTCGATCGCAAAAGCAGATGGCCTCCTCGTTGTGACTCCTGGGGTGCGTTAAATTTGTGTGCAACATATATGTGTCTACTACAGAACAGGACAAGCGAATGGACAACATTAATAGACGCGGCGAGCCGCTTCACCCCGCCCCACATCATATTGCATACACAGACGCGGGGTCCTAAAAGGGTGACCCGGACTACCCCTACATCCCTGCAATCAGTTCACTCGCAAGCTCTCCCTATTTACAAAAGATCTCCGTCTCCCTCACCACCCCCACCTACGCCACCACTCCGCTGCAGCGCCTCCTGGAATTTCCGCATGGACAGGATGGCGCTATCCACCTTGTCAAAGTTTAAAAAATTTGTACACCCCTTCACATACAACTTTAAATTGCCTCTGTTCACTTTTTTTAATTTTTTTAAATTTGTGTACCGCATATTATCAAGATACTTCCTAATGCAACAATTTACATCAAATTCTTTATTACGATGCATCATCATATTTTGGGTGCTACTACCTTCTGCACATTTCCGGTTGAATTTTTTTTCACAAAATAATTTCTTTCCCATGGGTAGATCTTCCCTATTGATAAAATATTCTGTGTCATTTGATCTTCCATTCATATTCATTTGTACATCAACAAAATTTTCTTTACCATTTGGATGCAAGTCGACACGTTCACTTGTTTCGATGCGGGGCTCATCATAACTCCGTACAATGTGCCATTTGTTTCGCTTCCTACCCCTATTATTCGAATCGAAGCAAATGTTGTAATTTTTTTTATTTCTCCATGTTAGCCATTTATCCAAATCGGCCAAGTGGTAATTTCCCCCCTCGGTGTTATTGCTACTACTGCGATTATTCGCTACAACCAAAGGGTAAACAGTGTCATTGTCTTTACTATCTGTACGCGTTAATAACTGTAGGAGTTTTTTTTTTTTGTAACTAAAAGTTGGCTCCTTTTCATTGTCCTCTCCTGAACTCTGTTCTTCCTTTCCGTACGCACTTGGGTCATTATCGCTAATCAATTGTATCGAACTTGTGTCTAAAAAATATTCATTTATATTTGAGCTCACCGAGAAGCTCCTCTTAATCTTTAAAACCCTTTTTTTCCTTTCAGCTTCTGAGGAAATTTTCCTCTTCTCTTTGAACTCTATCGTCTCATTCGGATCATTATCATAATTTACATCATGGTCTGATTCGTGTTCCTTTTCGCCATCCATTTTGTGGCTTCCACTACTTTTTCTATTTTCTTCCTTTACCTTATCGCCTTTCCCTATTTCTGCCATTCCGTTCTTGTTATATGTATAATGCTTTGGGGAAGCACTACTGTGATCGTTGTCTCTATCACCACGTGGGAGGTCCCTCTCCGCACTGTGCAACTCATCTTCTTCTTCTCCTCCTCCTCCTTCAATATCACTCACAAAGGGGTTCGAAGTCTTTACGCACTTCTTTCCTTTCAGCGTAACAGCCTTATTGCTTCCTTCCCTTATTTTGGAACTCATACCTTTGTCCATCCTTAACTCCTCTTTCTTAATTCTAGTTTGCAACTCCTCTACTTTTCTCCATTTATTATTATTGTCAGGTTCGTTACCATCCATCGAATGTGCTTCATCTTTTTTCTCCCTGCCGACTGCATATGCACATGCGTCTCTTGGTTCCGCCCTTGGTTTCGCTTTCTTCGGCTTGTGTTTCGCTTCCTTTGCATCTTTCGCATTTTTTTCCCCTTTTTGGTTGTTTTCCTGGGCGGTTTCCTTCACGGCACTTTGCTTAGCGTCGTCTCCTTTTTCCTCCGTGACCGCTGCTTCGCCTGCCACTTCTCCTGACTCTTCAAGTGCCCCTTCACTGGATTCTTCCCCTTTTTCCTTAGTGCTCGATTCTATCTCCCTCTTCATTCTGCTCGCGTTGCTACCTTTGCTCTTCCCCTTGTTGTCCCCCTCGTTCTGGCGCTCCTCCCTTTCCTTTTCCATTTTCTTAAACATATTTTCGTAGTACTGAATTTTTTTCAGCTCCCTTGCGCTGAGTTGCGGATTAAACGTTTCGACGTCCTTCCCACTTTTTTGAGGTCCACCTTTTCCCCCTCCTGCGGCGGCTTCTTTTCCAGTCCCAGCTGGCCCTACCACGTCCACCTCATCACCATGATCATTTTTTTTTCTCTTCCCTTTTCCTTCGCCTACATGTTGGTTTCTATACCTTCTCATTCTGCCCCCTGCTTCTGGACTCAACGGCTAAGAAACAAAAGGAGGCTTATCTTTTATGTACGTGGCGGAGGGGAGAGTATTATTAGACTTGCCCGTTGGCCATACGTTGGCTACCTATAGGGGGGGTTCCCTACTCGTACGGGAAGTCACACATTCCCCGGAAGAGGTAGGAAAATGCCTTGGAAACCAACAATACACTCTTTTTCCTTTCCCCTTGGGATTTTCTCTTTTGTCGCATGAAGTTTTGTATAAACACTTCCGTTATTCTTGGTAATATAATGTAGCCTTTTCAAACTTGTTTTGTTTTTTTTCTTTTTCTCCTATCCAAAAATTCGCATGGATTTATGTACTATAACACATACCCTACGCGTTTCTTATTCCCTATTTTGGGGTGCAAAAATGAACAGAGTCGTGGGCCAAAAATTAACTGGGCTTAAGAAAACGAATTATTTCTTGAATCCACGGAAATTGAAAAATCATTTTCCCTTCTTTCTCTCCTCCCGTTTCCTAATAGGGAAGCAGTTTTCCTTGCCCGAATGGTTGTTCGCATTGTTTTTTCTCCTAATGTAGGCGTATTATCACAAATGAAATGCCTTTTAAATGTGACATAATATATACCGTACCATTTCTGCAACACAGCGTCAAATGCTACATGCTTAAACGCATATATGTCGCTAAAAGATCATTTATAAGTTAAAAGGAAAAAATACGTGCTTCATCGCTTGGTTTTTTTGTTTTTCCTTTTCTTTTTTCACTTTCATTTTCGTTTTTTTTTTTTTGTTTTCCCTTTTTTTTTTTTCTTCTTTTTCGACACCTACATATTAATTTGTGCCTCCCCCCCCGCCAGATGACATTATTATGAGGACTCCAAAAAAGGGGGGAAAAAAAAAGAAAAATTCTTCTATCTTATGTTAATTTACAAAACGAGAAAAGTATACATATGTGAATATTTCTCCTTCTAATTTTTCCTTCCAACTTTTTTTCCTTTTTTGTACATTTCTGGCCTATGCATTAGTCCAATCTTCCCCTCCTGGGAATTATATCGCATGCATTTCCTCGTTTAGCGAGTTCATTGCAACAATACCGTTTCATTAACTTATAATGCCATGAATGCAAACAGAAGGGCTGAACAATTATGTGTCTTTCTTTTTTTTTGGCCCTCCCTCGGGAAAATACAAAACGTGGGGGCGCGGAAAAAACGGTATGGATAACTGGATAAAAAGCAAAAAGAAAAACTCATTTAAAACTGCAAAGCAGCAAATTGGTAAAAAAAAATTTCAACATATTACAACTTAGAAAAATTAAAAGAGGCACCTGGTCCCTTTGGATAAATTATGGTAATGGACAGAAAAACGAAAAAAAAAGTACCCCCCTGACGTAATTAAAAAAATGTAGAAACAAAAATGATAATTTTTTTCCTCCACGTACTGGAGTTAAATGATTAATCTTGCCCTTCTTCCAACCGTATGACGTTATTTATGTGAAGGAAGAAAAAACGCATCTTATCCGAGCACATGACTACTGAACATATTGATCATCCAGCATTTATACACATATATATAAAATGTATATCGCCAGCTGCTGAGATGATTGTTAAGGGACAAAATGGTTTTCTTTTTTTGGAGGGGTGGACAGAGTTCATTTAAAATGTGATGACTATGTCGCCTTTCCGTAAGTGGAAATTAAAAGCGGAATGAAACAAGTGCGACTTATGTGGGTATCATTCCATTCCTTTTTTCAATTTTTTCCAAACGTAGTTATATCGAAATTGTTTATATGCACATATCGTGCTGCAGTTTAACAAAAAAAAAAAAAAAAATTCTTCTGTTTGATTACATCACGCAAAAAGACCTCCCGCCAATTATTACTGGTGGAAAAAGGAAACATAAGTAATAAATACGCCTCGATATTGAAGAAGGACAGCTATTATATTGAAGTAACTACGGGGGATAAGGACACACTGATATTACTCACAAATGTGCGTTCCTCCAATATATACACAGAATGCATAAAAGACATGCAAAATCTGCTTCTCTGTACCGCGTGCTTATAACTACTAATGTGTCACTACTTTTTATGCCAACAGGGAGGATGGGGTCCAAACGGTGCAATTCGCCCAATTTGGGCGACGTTGGAAGGTAACATGGCGTCTCTAACCACTCCAGTGGGCTATTTTAAAAAGGTACGTAATTCTTCTCATCCTTTCCCGATTTGCAAATTATAAAAACGAGGCTTCTAATAAGCATGCTATTGTTGTGCCTATTCACACCTCCCCCCAACGGGTTCAATTTTCTAATGCAAATCATATATCACTTTCTTTAACTCCTTTCCCTTTTTTTGAACTGTGCTGCGTTGGGGATTCTTCCCGTTCTTAGCGCCATTGCCGATTTTGCCGCTCCTGATGCCCTTACCGACATTACCACCTCGTACACCTGCGCCGTTCTTATTCTTTTGCAAGTTCTTCCTAAGCCCCTTGGCATTTTTCGACTTGTCCAGTTTCCTCTTGCCGTTTACCAGCACGTTCAGCTTCAGTTCTCTTATAATGGAGCGAAAACTTTTGAGTTTGCTTTTGTCGTTCTTTTCATCGCTGTTTTGGCTTCTCCTTTTGGCCTTGCGGGTACTCCCCTTATCTGAGTCCTTCTTACATGCGCGCTGCTTATCAGAGTCCTTTTTACGGGCGCTGCCATCTGTAGTATGACCTTCGCCACCGCATCTCCCAGCCGTTGATTCACCACAGGACATGTCACTCTTCATGTTTAACTTCCGCAGGTGCAGCTTTTCCTTGTTCGTCAGGAACCACTCCCTGGGAGGCCTACTCATAATTTCGTCCTTAAACTGAATGAGGTTTTTAATTTTCTTTATCGACTTGGTGGCTTTATCAATTTCTTTGTTTTCCTTTTCCTCCTTTATCATTTCATTAATTTGTTTTTTTTTCTTCCGAAGTAAATTATCCCAGTGGGAAATGCTATCAGTGGATATGTTCCTCCGAAATATTTTGGTATTTTTGCTTTTTTTCAATCCTTTAATGATTTTTTTCACATCCGTTTTTTCATTAGGTCTGTAGAGAGTACTCGCCGTGCCGTCTTTCCCTATCCTTGCCGTTCGTCCAATCCTATGGACGTACTTAATGACGTTCGAAGGTAAGTTATAATTAATCACGTAGAGAATATGATCTATGTCCAAACCTCTGGAGGCTAATTCAGTACATAATAAAAAGTCGACTTCATTTTTCTTAAATTTCAAAATGGATTCTATTCTCTTCTTTTGAGTAAGCGAACCATGCAACTCTGCACATTTGAAATTAAACAAGGAAAAGATTAAATACATCAGATGTGTCTCTTTTTTTGTCTTAAAAAAAATTATGGCATGATTCTTATACACATTACTGCACAGATGCAGTAGGGCTGCTCTTCTATACTTTTCATTTACAATATTCACAAACTCTTGATTTAATTTTTCTGAAATTTTAAAAGACTTTAAGATTTTTTTATTGCTAATGCAGCTGGGGATAACTTCCCCCTTTGCATCTACTTTCCTATTATCCACTCCGCTTTGTATAAAAATTGGGTTCTTAAGAGAAAAATTAGCTAGGTCCTTGATATCCCTAGTTAACGTAGCTGAAAAAAATAAAATCTGCTTCTTAAACTTACACACATCTAACACTTTTAAGCATTCCTCCTTGAATCCCAACTCCAACAATTTGTCAGCTTCATCGAACACTACCACTTCTAGGTAGTTTATAAAATCACTGGACGAGTTTAACAATAAATCTAGGATCCTTCCCGGAGTGCAAATGAAAATGTCTTTCTTCTTCTTATATTCATACTCCTGTTGCTTTACGTCTATTCCTCCACAGAAAAGTGAATAAGTAATTGACACATACTTGGTCATACTCTTGACGACGTCGTAACACTGAAGGGCTAGTTCTCTCGTTGGTAGGAGTATTAAACTCTTGGTTACGCATATTCTGCTCTGATTATAACTTCTCATTTTTATGTTGGGACTGTGAAGGAGTCTTTCTAATATGGGCAACACGAAGGCCAGGGTTTTTCCTGAACCCGTTTCTGAGTTAGCTAAAATGCTTTTCCCCTCCAGGGCTAGCGGTATCACGTCTCGCTGGATAAACGTCGGATTGTTGAACTTGTCCTCGTAGAGCACCTTCAGGAACGGCCTCGAGATGTACAGGTCACTCCACAGCGTGTTCCGATCGATGACGCTGCTGCTGTCGTGGTCGTTCCGGCTGTCCTCCTTGGGGGTTTCCTCACGGTCGCTTCCTACATCCTCATCTTCGCTTCCTACTTCTTCATTTTCGCTTCCTACTTCCTCATTTTTGCTGCCTGCATCCTCATCTTCCCCTCCTACATACTCATTTTCGCCTCCTACATCTTTATCATCATTTTCTGCATCCTCATTCTGCACCCCCACATCTTCTTTTTCGCCCTCATTCACTTTCCCATTTTTAGCATCCGTCTCAACATCCATTCCTTCAGTCTGTTCGTCCATCTTCATATTCTTCCCTTCCATTTTCTCTCCCTGTTGATTGTTTTTTCTTGCTGTCTATCTTCCTTGTGTTTCCTTCTCTCCAAAATATGCCCTTCGCCTCTTCCCTTTTAAACCTCCTGGTCGACTTTCGTTCTACAGCTGTGGTGGTAATATTTTATGCTCTCCCATAAGCAACCTTTTTTTCTACATATATATTTCCGTGCCCAAGGGAATGTCCCTAGATCTGTACGTTCTTATGTACGTGTGGAAGGACAAACACACGCGCAATGAAGATACGCTGCTAAGGCTTCCTCAACAAATATATGTTAAGTACTATTTTCTATAGGACTCCTTCACCGCTCCTTGTCTCACTTTTTCTTGTGCTTCCGCAAGGGGAACTCTAACGTAGCGAACAATTTGGCTGCGAACCAGGCCTCCTCATTACAGCCTCTTTCCCTTACTGATCTGCTATTTTCGCATATGTTAAATATTTCTCGCATCTGGATTGTTCTCTATTTGGTGAGAGCGATTTTGCTTCTGTGCCTTAGATAATCGATCAAGAGGAGGGTGGGCGTGAAAGCTTTCTTTGGTTCTTACTCCTCGTAGTGACTACCTGTGCAATCGGGTACTTACGTACTTTTTTTTTTCTTCTTTATGTTGTTTTATTGATGCCTTGACTAGAGCTCCAACGCTAGGGAAAATTTCTCGCATTGGCTTCAATATCTTTTCACAGTTGCCGCTTTTAAAAATTAAGAAGAAAATGGGAAAAATACATGGCGGCGCAAATTGGGAACGAGCTTCTTAACGTCAGTTTTAACCTCTTAATTTAATGCTGTTTCCTCGCTAAATATATGCTTTCCTTATTTTTCCATTTTGCGCTTCTAAGAATGGAGCTAATAACGGTGGAAAATCAACATAATAACGTTGCATGTACCGCGTTCACATGCACGTGTTTGTACTTTTCCGTTTTAGCTATTTTTTCCCCCTTTTTTTTGCCTTCCGTTTTTTTTTGACGAATTATGCACAGAAGGATGGTGCGCGGATCCCCCGAAAGGCGTTGTTATCGCGGCAACGTACAAATTGATGAAGCGCATTTTTTTTTCTTCTCAGTGTTCACTATTGCCTTTTCATAAACGGGTAATATTTTAGAATGGCATACTGATCATTTTTAAACTATTTGTTAGATAACCCATTGGGTGGATATAACCCACTGGTTGTGCATCCTACACGGGGTTGAACACTTTTTCCTCTTCTCCGTTGCTTCCCTTCAGTATGCGCTTCTACACCCCACGGTAAAAGCGCGTCCGTCATCATTTTTTTGGTACAATTAGGGAACGTCTGTATCGGTACGCCAGCAGGCTGCGTTGCACATTATGTTGGCCTATAGTGACGTCCATTGGAGTGACTCGCCTTCGTAGGACAAAATGGTTTCTCCGCGAGTGGGAAATAACACCGCTTGAACGTTTCACTCATAAAGTGGGAGGTGGAGGAAAGCTTCTCCTCTGCGCAATAGAAAAAAACTAGAGGCGCGTATAATATTAGCTGCCAAATCAGGGCACCATAAACCGAATCGCGGTAAAACCACGGCGAAAACGTGCCCAACGGGACGATGCTACACCTCGTGGCAGGAAACCTTCGAGGGTATTCCCCACGCATGACGAACCTACTCACTTCCCTCACGAAACGTTCGTACGAAATACGCCCCCGGTGTAAGTCACCCCTGTGTAAACACTTCTCGACTGAGACCAGTCCCCCCTCCACAGACACCGTCCTACCAGAAAACGCCGTGACATATGATACCCCCAATTTCCACTTCATCATTTATGGCATATTGCACGGACAGATAAATGAAAGAAGGTGTAGCGGCAAGGACGCAGCGGAATTTCTAACCAGAGTGAAACCTCATTATGTTCTGCTAGAACTGTGTCAACAAAGACTAAGCAAAATAATGGACATCCTTTCCAACCAAGAAAAAAAAAAACACTACGATAATAATTACAGCAAATTTACTTACCTGCCAAGAATACATAATGGGTTTTTACAAAATGAATTTTTACCCATCATTCAAGACTCCATAAAAAATAAATGGAAAATATTTCTCATCGATAGAAATATGAACACCATTAGAAATCGACTCGATTCTAGACTCCTCTATGACACGATTGCTTACAGAAAATTCTTCACGTACTGCATTGAATCCATATCGCTGAGGCACTACTCCTTTGAGGAGTTTACGACATTGTACAAACAGTATGGCTCGTCGACTGCAACTGAGAAGGGTACTCTTTACCGTGCCACACCAGCAGATGACACCGGGGACGCTCCCACGAAAGGTATCCGTGAAAGGGGACTCCGCATGGACACTTACAGTGAACACAATGTGCGTGCCAACTTCGCATCGGAGGCAGGAGAAAAGGGAGCAGCCGAAGAGTGTCGTACCTCTACACCGCAGGATGCCGACCAAAATGGTGAAAGCGAAATTTGGAAAAAACTAAACCTTGTGCAGACGCTGAATGAAAGACTGAAAGATCTCTCCAAGCCGACGTACGACATCCTCGTGGAGGAAAAATGTAAATACATGGCGAACAACATTTGGTGTTTCCTCTTAAACAATGAGGAACATTTCTTCAAAAATACCCCCGTAAGGAAGACCATTTTTGTCCTGTGCAGTGCCAACATCGTGCACAAATTAGTGCAGGAGATGGACAATGCATATCTGAGTCTACATAAAAGGTATGAATCTAATATCAGTAGCAACAGTATGGAGCGCCTAGTATTTGAGAATCCGTATACTTCGTATGGAACATATGTAAAGCCACACTGGCCCCTAATTTTTATCAAGTATTATTTCATTCCTTCCTTCATTTTATATGCTACACTGAACACGTTTTATGCGCTCATTGCATGGATTTACAACTCTAATTTCCAGAGAACATCTTCCCCTTCGCATAAAATCATAGACATAGAGGTGTAACAAAAGGGGTGAATTGGAAATGGACCCCCCTTTTTTTTTCTTGCTTCTCTTATTGAGGATGGACACAGATTGATGTGGAACTTGGGCGGAGTGCGCACCTCTTCACCTCTCCTTTTTTTTAATGACTCTTTTTTTATTCCTACCCCATAGAGAGGTCAAACATGTATGTCAGCGCGCGCCGCGGGTATATGTGCCTACCCTCTTGTTTTTTTTTTCTTCCTATTTCATTTCTTTTTAATGTTAAAATTTTACAAATTTACGATTTCACGTTTTTATTTGTGTGAAACGGGTGTGTGACCAGATGCGCGCAACCCAACGTGACTTTATGTGAAGGGAACAGTACCCTCTGAAAAGGGGAAAAAAAACCCTCTCTTTCATTTGCCTCCAATTCATCACAATCGTTCCGCACACCCCCGCGTGTGCACCTCTGCACGACCTTACACTGCTTGTGGGATACGGTGTGCCAAATTGTAACCCTCATAAAAATGGCCTTTTTAAGCTTCCAGATTTTGCTTTCAGCCCCAAAGGGCCAATAATTTTTAACACGACGCTTCACTGTGTACTTATTACAAGAGGAGCAGAAATAGAAGCTACACTTCTTATATGGAAAAAAGTTGTGCCTTCTTTTTTTTTTCTCTCTCGTGGGGGGACGAAGAAAAAATGACAAATAAATTGCGGAAACTGTGCAAAGTGGCATTTTTTTTTCTTTTTTATTTTCTCCGCTGCTCGCTCAGCACAAGTGCTACAATTCAGTGCGTTCAGTTTTTTTGGCTTCCACTGACTCTGCCTTAATCCCGTGAAAGCATAACTCCATGTTCACTTCCTCCACTTCCTAAAATTTCTTTATTTTTTTTATTCGTACCTGGTTGTTGTTTTTTTTTTTTCCCTTTCACCCCGTCATAGCATCGGCAGGTGCCCACCCATCCTCAAATTATGAAACCGCTATTTGAAGCAATCATCCGCCATACATTTTCGAAAAGCCCCAGTGTAACGTACGTGTAGATACTGCGTTGCGTGTACCTGGGCGTATTCGAAGCTTCGTGTCCACGAGTAATGTGCTATACATGCTAGTCCCCCTTCTTCCCTGGACGCATGAATAATCAGAATGCGAACGTGCGTTACATGTAGAATGCCACACTTTTGATCTTCGTACGTCAAAATGCATTCAACAAATAGTACTACCAATGATGGCACCAAAAAGAAGGGAAAATTTATAGTCTTTGAGGGGCTCGATAGGTTGGAAAATGAAAATAAAATGACATTTTCAAATTTTTCGAGAACATCCCTACGGCGAGGGCACTCAACTGCGTTGTGCACCCATGCACCCATGCGTCGTGTGATCATTCGAGTCCTTTTTTCCTACACACAGAGGTTCCCCCTTTTTCTTTACAAACCCATTTTCCTGTTAGGTCGGGAAAATCGACTCAGTCAAGACTGCTAGTGGAGCACTTGAGGAAGAAAAATGTGGAAGTCAACCATTTGTGTTTTCCCAGTAGGGCCCTTACGAGAGTTGTGAAACTGGCCCACCGGCAAACTCCAAAATGTCCAAACGGCAAAACTTCTTAGCTGGGTAAAAAACGAATGAACCAGCGCGACCTCCGCCATTGCTAAACCAAACCGATCGAACCATTCTTCCCTCCCTTAAGACAGGGAAACCCCCACAGGACAAATAATCGCCAAGTATTTGAAAATGCAGAGTGACATGACGAACGAAACCATCCACCTACTTTTCTCGGCAAACCGATGGGAGCTAATGTTATAAAAAAAAAAAAAAAAAAAGAACTGTATCTTTTTATATTCACCCACATTCCATGTCGATGCGTGGAGTGGCCTCTTCGGAATTCTCCTGGTCACGAAGTTTCCTCTTCTAATCACGCTTCTCCTCTGCATGCTTCACTTCATTACGCGTCAATTCACTTAATTTCCCCTGCTTCCCTTCGGATTTCCCATTTCAGAGGCGAAATTAAGCGCCTTCTGGCCAAGGGCGTGTGGGTCGTCTGCGACAGATATGCCTACTCGGGGGTGGCCTACTCTGCCGGAGCGCTTGTAAAGCTACATATGCCATCATGCAGACATGCATGTCTAAATTCCTCCTGTTCCTTTTTCTCCAACAATCTACGTACCGCACTGCCACTTCTTCTTTCCCGTCATCCAGAAATTATCCAAAACCTGGTGCATGAACCCCGACCAAGGCCTAATCAAACCAGACGTCGTTTTTTATCTCGACGTTCCTCCCAACTACGCCCAAAACAGATCAGAATATGGTGCCCTCTACATACCTGGCGCGATTCAAGTGGAAGCATTTGCTATCGCACAAGGCGTGGCAAATGTGACAAATGTCGCAACTGCGCCAATCTGTGTCCACACCCACTTTCCACTGGCGGGGCACTCCCAACGCGAAACTCATTCCCATCCCCCCCCCGAAGGCGAAGAGATTTACGAGAAGGTCGAAGTCCAGAAGAGGATATACGAAACGTATAAAAATTTCTCTGAAGAAGATTATTGGATAAACCTCGATGGGACCAAAAACGTCGACGTAAGAGGAAGAGTAGCTGCATTCATAACGGGATGTTTTCGTTACAGGAGGCTTCCATAGAAGAGCCTTTTCACTTCAATGCATCAGCTGACAAGTGCAAATCGGATACCTCCCATCCGAATCTACCCCCCCCCTCGCAGGACATACACCAAGATGTTGTAAATGAGATAACCAAACTGGAGCCAGTGCATGAAGAGCTGTTCACATTTTTGTGGTCGTAGGGGTCAACGCGTGTGAGCGAGCCCCTCACATGTTCATGCATCGATGTGTGCATGGTGATGCTTTGGAGAAAAAAAAAGAGAAAAAAAAAAAAAAAAGATGTAACGTCGTGTAACGTAGGTCTAACAAAACCGTCATCACACACGCGGGCTCCTTTGTTTTTAATGTATATAATGTGCCCCCTTGTGAAAATGTTTGCGTGAACGTTTGCACTATTTCCCCCTCCATCTCCCTCTATCACATTTTTTTTTTTTTCCCATGAGCCGCCTTCACCGCATCCTACCGCTTAAAAAAGGGGCAACAAACCTACTTTGTTTTTACGTATTCTATCGGCTCGGTAATTCCTCAATGGGTTAAATGTTCAGTGGGGAAAAAAAGAGGGAAATCGCAAAAAAAATCGCAAAAAATTGCGAAAGGGATCGCTAAAAGGTGCTTCCGAGTGTAACTTCAGAGTGTAACTTTGGAGCGTTACTTCGGATCATTACTTCAGACTGTTACTTCCGACCGTTACTTCCGACCGTTACTTCCGACCGTTACTTCGGAGCGCTACTTCGCAGCAGTGAACTCTGGTTGGACGCGGCGGGCGTAAGGGGAGGGCGCACAGCTAACTTACTTCCCCCTCAGCATCACCCTATGAGTCGCAAAAATAACGAAAAAAAATAAATAAACAAAGGAAGCAAAAAAAATTCTTAAAAAAGTACCTTCAAAATGGATGCACATTTAAATGTACAATTTTTCTAGTGCATGTTGGGGGTAGACACACATTGCCCTTCGACCCACTTTTGAGTATGTCTGCACAACTGGGGGAGGGGTAACTAAGTGAAGTGGCACCCATAAAGTGGCTATTAACATTCGGTGCTGTCCCCATAATCCGTTGGGAATAGACAGCACGGCGCTGCACAGGGCATATATACATGAAACTACCTGGGGAGTCGTCCCACCAGTGGCCCATTTTCCCACTTGGAAAAACTTCCACTTAACCACCGCTGAACATTTATCTGGCATCTGTAGGTCACCTGGCCAGATGGGATCATTTTTTTATTTCCCATCAATTGGCGCACTCTCAGTTTTCATATTGGAATTGCCCCAGACTAGTTGCATTTCTTACGACTACTCATCTGAGCAATTACTCCTCCATAGAGCTGCTCATTCTTACAATTCCTTCCTCCTGTACAGATGCCGACACAGCAGTGCGTCGAAACAATTCGCGCCACTCTCTCGTTGGGTCTTCCCCCTCGTCAACCGAGCGGTGTGCCCAGAACGCATGGGCAACTCGCTTGTCCCCCTGCTGGTCCTGTCGCATGGCTGTTCGCTTTCCAAAGGGAAGTGCTCATCTTGCTGCCCCTCTTCCGCTTGCTCCGTCGATTCGCACGTCGCGCCCCTCTCCAGGGAATTGTTGGACGAAAACTGTACGGCGCCCTGGTCAGTGAGCAACCCCTTTTCCTTAAAGCTCTTAGGGTACATAAAAACAGATTCCTTGAAGCTATCCACAGAGGAAAAGCCATCATTCTGATGACCCTTTTTAAAAAAAGTGATCTTCCTTGTAATCTGTCTAATGATTGAAGTCCTCTTTGATGTGTACTCTTCCCCTATAATGATGCTATTAAAAGACTGCGGCACGAATTTGTACTTTTTGGTAATTTTCAGATCATCCCGTGTTAAGTCTTTTATATTTATCCGATTCATTTTGTTATCCTCCCCGTTTATCCAATATTTGGAGGAATTATCTGGATCGTGCATCAGAATAGGTGGATACAAATCCTCCTGAAATTTTGTCGGATCTTTTCTAGGCACATAAAAAGAGATGGGTCTGATGCTCTTATTATTCTCGTTCTTATAAACTCTCCCAATTTCGCACTTATACACATCACAGATTTGCTTTGGTAAAAATCCAAATGATCTAAATGGGGTACAAGATTTATATTCGTTTACCTTACGTATGCTTCCAAGTGAATGCTGATAGTATCGACAATTTCCATCCCCCTTTCCAATGATATATATAAGTCCAGTGCTTTCATCATAATGTGGAATCAACGGAGCAGATGCGTTGTCTATAGACATGGTCACTAAAGCAGAGGTTGTATTCTTTAAATCCCACAATTTCATTTCTCTTAAGTTATTTTTAGAAAACCCTGTACTCAAAATGTAGTTATCGTCCCCACCTAATCCATCGATCCATATATTTTTGGTATTTTTCCCACCACTATGGATGTGAAAACTGGAAGCAATTTCCTTTTTTCTCGGATCTATAATGTGCATATGCTTCCCTACACACGTGCCGCTTAGTAAGCTGCCCTTGATATTCCACTTCAATGAAGATAATTTCTTTGGCATTATAATATGGAAAGGTCTCTTCTCATTCTCTATGTCCCATATGTTTACAAAGGAATCGAATCCACTTGAGCACATGATGTAATAGTTCATTGGGTTCCAATCTATGACTGATATTTTTTTTTTATGTCCTTTGAGAATGCACTGTGGATCTTTTATTTCTTTCACCGATTCGTCATTATGCGGTATCTCCCACACACGGATGGTTAAGTCTTCTGAACCTGATGCCAAGATTTCACTGAAGCAGGGGTTAAACTGCAGGTCCAGGATGCTTGACGTGTGTCCCTTCAGCTTTATCACTGGCGGATTCCTCATTTGGTTCTCAAGCCGAATGGCTCCTATCAACCCGCCACCCTCCACTTCCCAGGGCACCTTCCAGGACAGGGGGGCGGAAAAGCAAATGAGGAGGAACACAACTGGGACGAATTCAACTGGGAAGTGTAGGCAAAACATTTTTCAGACGCGGAAGGCGAAACATAGAACGTGCATTTGAGCAAACTTCCAAAATGTAAGGCAAGCGTGTCTGCACATGCAATAGTGGCGGGTTTAAACCCTTCCTTGTTTCCTCTCGATCCGCCCTCTCCCCAGCGCTCTTTCCCCCGTGCACTCCAATTTTATCGCTCCACCTACCGCCACAAACCCCGAGCTACACGCAATGCCACACGAGTCCATCACCCTCGAGCATATTCGCAAGTCGTCAAAAAGGTTGTTCGAAGGGTCCGCTGCGCAAAAAAAAAAAACGGGTGGGCGCACGTTTTTGGTGCAGTTTAGTGACGTTGCGCTCAAAACACGAGAAGCAACGCCACGCCGCATGCCAGGTCGTCTCGACACCTCACGCGGAAAACCTTTCCCCCCAACAGATCTCATTTTCTTACGATATAGATTCTTTAGAAACGGAATGCTACTCATTTTATAGGTCCATGAAATGGTGAAGCAGTGTGAACAGGAAAAAAAAAAAAAAAAAAGTCTGCTCCTCTTTGGCGTCGACCATACAGCAACGTTGTTCGTTAAGTCTGGCAGGACAGGCACAAATTTTGGGTCTAAGCTCAGCAGTGGTGAAAGGGGGGAAGCTAAATTGAGAAAGAACTATACACATATTGTGCAGTATGTTCTTTCCCTCAGCTTTCCTGTCTTATCTCGATAGAAGTCTACAGAGCGGGCGTGCTTATTATATTAGATCAGAATAATGAATCAGCATGCATCCAAGCGCGGCAAAATGGAAAGTACACATTTGCGTACGAATTCGGCTGAGCCACAAGGGACCATTTTTTTAACTCAGAAAACACGCTAAACGCTAATGCTAAGACGTATTCGGAAATTAAAACAGAAAAAGGGAATTCCACATCCGAGTTAGACACACCCATGCTTCGCGAAGCAAATCGTTTGAATAGGAACGACACGGGAAAATGTTGACTGCCATTTTGAACATCTTGGATTAAATGACTAACCATTAGTGTGCAAGAAAAAAAAAAAAATATAATTTCTTTTCCAATTTTGTTTTTCTAACCAGTGGACACAAGTAGGGACAGTAGGGGCAACTGGGGATGAGTTTCATCTATGCTAAATACACAATCGTATCCAGATCAGGCGCATATGCAACTGCTCACACACAAACGGGGGTACCTTTTTGTAGACCTTTCCTTTTACTAAAATTGTGCACTCCCAAATGGAACGACCAAACGGCTGACAAACATGTTTGTCCCTTTTTGCCCACAGAATTTAGGCTTCCTCCATAATTTTTAAAAGACGAAGCACATCGATTGGGAAAAAAAAAGAAACGTAAATGGGGGCATCTACAGAACGAAAAATTTACAAATGGAATGAATAAGCAAAGGCGTCTTTTTTTTTTCCCCTCTTCCACCTCACCGCTTCACATTAATTTTGTCTATTCCTACCAAATGTGCCACATTTCTTCGCACGCCCTACTCCCGTCATTTCATTCCTCGCCCCTTAAATGGAAAAACCAAACTACGCGTGTACATGTTTGTTCTGTTGCCACACCGAACGTTCGCGGGGGGGAAAAAATAAAAAAAATAAAAATCATAAAGGAAATAAAAAAATGCAAAAAAAGTAAGAACATCGGCAGATTAGCAAAACAATCCACCCAATCCAGTGGGTCCATCTTCAAACCCGATGACATTCTCACATATCCATTTTAACAAAAAAAAAAAAATTAAAATAAAATAAAACATAACGGTATAAACAAAAGAATTGATGACTCTAAAAAAAATCACATGGTCGATAATCTCTATCCAGGTAGTAAATATATAAAATTAGGAACACCAGGGCCAATAACAGAATGATAGAGTAGCACGCCAGCGACAGGTACACTTGCCTTCCGGAAATTACCTGAACGAGCGAGTCCTGAAATGAGCGAAAAAAAGGAAAATAAGAAAACGATGAGAATAACTTAATTGCTTCTTTTTTATACATGTGTGTGTGTGCGCCCGCTGTTTCGCCACAACCTATGCGATGCCGTTGAAGAGAGGGACATTCCCCATCTTTATGTTCCTACTATGGCTCCCCACGCGCATATAATTCCTAGGATGCAAAATATGTAGTCTAAAAAAAAGGGAAAACAAGAAAAAAAATGAAAAAAATTAAAGTGCTCGCGAATGGGGATGCAGCAGGACCAACGGAAGAAGTGCAAAAAAAAAAAATACGTGAAACGGGCAAATTCCCTGCTTCACAACTAAACAAATGTAATTAACAACTCGCACGAAATATGTTTCCGCGCAGTGGTAAACGCTCCACGTTCCTATGGCCCCCCGTTGTAAAGGGTTGACAAAGCTTCCCCCCATTTGTCCTAACGCCCCAATGGGACGCAAACCACCCTTTCCTACACGAATTGCATGTTCTCACACAAATCACATTTATCACGCAAATCACATTTATCACGCAAATCACATTTATCAGGCAAATCACATTTATCAGGCAAATCACATTTATCACACAAATCGCATTCTGTCACAAATGTCCTTTTCCCAGACGCGCCCGCGAGAACCCCCTCAAAGATATGCATTTTTACTCAAAACTGTTATAAACTTCCGCGAGTAGGAATAAAACGTGTGATTGCTCTTCCTTCTATTTCCCACTTGCTTCAACAAATCGCTTCTACTATTTTGGAAGCCAATCTCCCAATTTTCTCGATCTGAACTTGTGCGACTGGCTGAGTTGGTACCCTTCGTTTTCTTGGACAAGTTGAAATTCTCCTTGAAAGGCGTTGACTCGCTTTGCTTCCCCATTTATGGCTACCTTATCTGTTCTCTGTTGTCGCTTTTGTGCCCGGCGAGTGTGGCAACGCAAATACACGGTATTATGTACAAGGGCGAAAGAATGTTTCCACGGCGTTCTGCAGGTGAGAAGCGCATTCGCCTCCTTCGGTAAAGATAAATATTATGCAGACATATGCGCACAAATTTACATGGACCACGACATATATATATTTACTTCTTCTTACATAGCGTCGCTTCACGATTGGCAGAATGGGGGCTCATCAGAATTCCTGCCGTTTTTTTTCAGCCTAGTCACAGCTGGGCAATATTCACTGGGCGCTTTCTTGTATCGCCTTGTTCACTTTTTTTCGCCATTTGCTAAAATCGTTGCAAGAAATGGTGCCTCGCAACTATTCGCTGTAATGGTTCGAATGGTTCCAGTGCTTCACAGTGAGGGGGACACAAAGTGCAGAAAAAAATAAATAAAAGAACAAAAATTAAAAAAAAGAATAAGAAAAACGGATCCAAAAAATGCAAAAAGAAATTTTACATTTTTCCCGTTTAGCCATATTCCCCCATTATTTTTTTTTCTCCTTCAATTTTATTTACCTTTTGAAATTCCCAAGCATGGGGAGATTGATCAGGACGCTGTAAAGACTCTTGCTATCTGTCGCCCAGCCCCTCCGTATACAGCTATGGTGGGGAAGCCAATGCCAAGATTGTCACATGCATCGAAAAAAGTAAAACTATGCAGGTGAAACTATCAAACCGAGTGACGCCACCACTATGCTCAAATGAAACATACAAAATGAGAAATTACGCTGGCTAAGTGTTAGAAAACGCCGTTTTTTTTATTTCTACGTACAAAATGGATTGCAGTTCGTTGGGACACACCTAGAATTTTCCTTTCCCTCGAAATGGAGCGTACATATATTTGAGCATTCACATATGAAGGTAGATATGTACAGAAATGCACTCCCCTTTGGTCCTCCGTGCGAATACAACGGCGGGCTGCCAATCAACGTGGAGCGACTCAATTAGCCGCTCCTCAGCTTCAGCCCCCACCAAGGAGTTACCAGTTCTGCTGTGCAACATGCCAGTTTCCCATCCTACCAATCCTGTTTTCGTTTTATCATTCTGAACGTTAAGGATGTGATAAAAAAAAAATAAAAAGGCCAACACATGTGCTTCAATTTCATAATGATGAACAACGTATAAGGGAAACATTGAGGGAACAGAATTATTCCCTTCCGATTGGCTACTTTTTCTACGAAGTTAACAGAGAAGGCCCAATCAAAATGGAATTTCTTGTACAGCGCAGGTGTTAGCAAAATGGAATAGGTGGCATATACCCAAATTGCAAGATGGGAGTGGAAAAAAAAAGGTGTCTTTTTATTCTACCCATTCTCACATGTTTTATCCCGGAGGATTTTTTTTTCTCTTTTAAAGTAGGACACAAAAAGACATTTTACAAGCCACACAGCATCGCCACAGAACAGTGTGATGAACTCATCACCTTTGCGTTTTCCTTCTTCCAAGCGCAAGCAGGAATGTGTAAAGAATAGGGAACCCTTAGAGGATTCAAAAGAGAGTTCCAAATTTTGTGTGGACCCGACTGCGTGTCACACTCCTTTGTTATTGTGCTTATCATGGCGCATTATTAACTTAGGCGACAACACAACTCTCAATTTGTCTCAACAAGTGCGTGCACGCACACATACACTTGCACGCACAGGTAGAGACACCTCGTAGAACAGATTTACTCTGCAATTATTTGCCTTAAAAACCACAAGCGCGATGAACACATAAAATGGGAGGGAGTAAACTTTGTCCAAACTTTGTAAAAAAAAAAAAAAAAATTATCTTGCGCCGAATGCGTCCATAACATTATCGTCTTGCTAAGGAAAAGAAACCCATGTAATGAACACGCACACCTCTTTCCTTCTCTGAGCTAAATGTTGTGCTTCGTTGCTCTACAGTATTTTTTTTTTTTTTTTTTGCAAAATGTTCCGTGTGCATATATTGTACATAGTTAATTGCGGAGATTTCCTCTTACAAATTTATGCTTCTCGCGGGATAGCCAGAAAAAAGCAAAACGATTTAAGACCATACATTTCATTTTCCTTTTTTAGCAATTCCTTGTGTTTTCAAAATTTAAAATCCATGATTTACCTATTTGCGTGACTCCAACCGTGAATTCATATATACCCAGTGAATTTTTATTGTTAAAAAAATATATGCACAAATGTACCTTCCCCAAATTGTCCGATTTATTAAAATGACTGGGATGACATTCCTTTGCCTTCTATTGTTTGCCACACTTGGCTCTACAACATCGCAGTAAATGTTCATGTTCTAGGGTCTTTTTTTTTTCTTTCTTTTTTTTAAGCAATGCATATGTTAAGGGAGCGGTTTGTCTATGGCGACCCTATCCCACGCGCCTCACCAGCCGTTGGCTAGTTTTCGCTTCATCCCCCCTTCATTCAATTTTCACAATTCATAGAGATGAATTTCCAACCGTTAGATGGGGACAGAGCTCAAAGAAATTGACGCTCATCATTTCCATTCCGTCCGTCGAAGGGGAGAAGGTGGAATTTACGGAAAGGTGATAAAACAACTGGGGAGGGGAAGCACGAGAGAAAACGATATTTCAAAAAAAAAAAGTATCACTCATCGTTTATCACTTTGGTTGCACGTCCATCCCGAGTGGATAAAGTCTAAGCAGAAAAGAAAAGATTGACATAGCAGATATGCTCACTCCTCCACCCGTGCAATGTTTTACTTTCTTCCACTCACGTTGACACGCCTCCTTAACACGTTCGCCCTTGCCCCTCGCTATAGTAACATACACCTCACAACGCCCAATAAGCAGGGCCAGAACTTCGACCTCAGCTTAGATTTACTAAGACCGATAATCCCAGTGGTAGGTACATTTGGTGGTATACTCCACACAATAATTCTCCATTGCGTCGCCATTCATGAAGAATACGCAGTGAACCGCCTCTCCGTATGATACATTACCATCTCGTCACCTTTTTCTACCCTGTCTCTTTTTACATTTCCGATTTAAACTCAAACTCAGAAATGTTCCTACACCTCATTGGACAGCGGGCTAAAGATACAGATTGAGAAACGGGTCAAGGTTAGCTGCGCATTATTTTGGTACACTTTTTTTTTTCTAACACTCCAGTTATATAAACACCTTCATGTGAACCTTCCCCAATATCCCCCCGAAGGAACCGTGTTGGAAGCGCTTGACGAAGAACGAAGAAATGAATTTTCTGATAAAAGACAAAAGGCTTAGCGATCCAACTGAGTAAAAATTAAGAGATTAATGCGTTCCCATGCCAGTGATTAACTGCTCAAAATTTGTTAAGCGCTTTCCATACGTTGTTGATGTTGGGTGTATGAATATTGCTTCCCCTAGCATGCACAACGCACGTGCTACATAACAGTGAGAAAATTCCCCCCTCTCATTTTTCCTTTCTCATTTTTTCCCCTCCTTACGCAGCTGTGAAGAGGCCAAGGAAATCTGGCTGGGAGAATACATGTAAGACGAAACGTGCGTCCACCTATCTTCTGAGTCTGCTGCACTTTTTGCCAATTTTGCAAACCCTGCCACGGGAACATACCCCTTGATGAATTTATTTCCTGGTCCCATGTACCTCACAGGTTTTTTAAAAGAAAAAATAAGTCGAACAACACCCCAACAAGGGTGGATGATGCTGACCCAACGAAAAAAAAGGACATCGTGCAGGCAAGCAAAATGGCGTCATATGCATATGGCCGTGCAGTCATATGTCATGACGGGACCGCAAAATGGGGTTAATTCAGCGTCCTCTGTCTGCCCCTATAATATATATATATGTACTTTTCTTTTTTTTTTCCCTGCTTCTTTTGCCCCCGCGAAAACAGAACATAATTGACAGCTTGAAGGACGCCCACCCAAATTTCTCCCTGCACGAATATTAGCAAAGATGCCGAAGGGGGGAAAAAAATAGGAAGAGAATTGGAAGGGAAAATGGAAAGAAAATGGAACAAAATTGGGAAAAAAATTCATAAATCATGGCCGTACATGAGCTCTATGTAAATTTATGCAGATAATAAAGAATAAGCATTTCTAGAAATGAATAATCTGAACATAACGCTTGTTCAACCTGATAAACAGTGATTTTTATCGTATTTTTCCTCCCATGCGACTTCTTTTTCTTTCTTTTTTCTCATTTTGAATTGTTTGGTCTCGCCAAAACAACGTTGCGCACTTGCGCGTATGCATAGCTGTACATTGAAATAGATATAACATGGCGTTGCTGTACGATGATGGAACAGTTCGATGATGGAACAGATCGATGGGGCAACTGTACGATAGGGCAACTGTACGATAGGGCAACTGTACGATAGGGCAACTGTACGATAGGGCAACTGTACGATAGGGCAACTGTACGATAGGGCAACTGCTCCCATTGATGCTTCTGCAGACTTAGGTATCCTCGGAGGCAAATGAATCATGCGTGGACGCAAATCTCCCACTGCATGTGACTAGCGATTTGGGAAAAAAAAAAAAAAAAAACATCCTACCGATTTATTTGCATACATGGTTTTTTCCTAACATTTTTCATTCATTTTGCATTTTCCATTTTGTGAGGAACCAAATCGACACATCACTTAAGCACAATGCATGGTTGATTAGGAGGAAATGCCTGCATCCATAACTTTTAAATGGCCCATGCGCGGATGATATATCGTTAAAGCAAAGTCTGCTTTTTGTTCCGAACCAAAACAGGAAAAAAGGGGTATATTATTACGTTGCAAGGAGAGGCATTTAACTTCTTCCATCTCGGGGGCATCCTTCAGCAATTTGTGGACAACCAGTTGACGATTTTGTGTATATTTTTAAGTGCCTATTTTGTAAAATAAAAAAAAAACTTTTCAGACGGGACAAATTTTTGCAACCGTTAAGCATGGACATCGCCCTCCCCAATCCATGAGATGACCAGCTGTGCTCATCGTATCACTCGCAACGTGAGTACATTTTAGCTTCGCTGCGGAACCGTATGTGACGCGTTAGGCAAAAAAAATCTTTTTTTTTTTTTTTTTTTTACCATCCTACGCGTAGCCCATTTATTTACTATGCAAACGGAAGGTGCAGTTCTGCATCATCATTTTCGCCCCCCTCTAATTGCCTGAAGGCATAATATAAGGGCTGCGTGCCCCCGCCAGCAACCGTGATTCCGTTAAAGCCTATTTGGAGGCTCACCCCCACAAACACAACCTCGAATCCATACACTGAAACGTAGTTACGTACTTCCACATATGGACCCTTAACAACTGCCTCATGCGCCAACTAATGCATCACGCAGATCGCTTACCGTTTTTGCTTGACGAACAATGGCCCAAGATTGGAAAAACACAATTTTGCAACGCATGAAACAGAGGAACGTTGCACAGAGCCAGAGATACGAACAAGTACTAACCTCGTACAACGCCCTAGTGGATGAAAAAAACAAACTGACAGCCATCATTGCATCGTTTACATCAGAAAATGTTTTCATGCTTAATGGTAAACATTTAAGCTTCTCACTTTCCAGGCGAGAAAATTCCATTCCGAACCTTTTGAATCACTGCTATGCGCAGCGTGAGGATTACGGTGGGGATAATTTGACACATCGGGACATGTCACTTAGCGTAGCATCGGGGAATGATGCCACCACGGAAGGATCCCCAGGGGAGGCGACAACCCCGTCAGGAGCTACGGCCAAGACGCAGGACAGACTGACAAACGGACTCTCCAAAAGAGAATTGCTCCAAGTCATTAAGGAAAAAGCCAAAGCAGACCAACTGATACTTCTTCTAAAAAACGACATAAATGAAAAAAAAAAAGTTCTCAGCATTTTAAACAAACACAATAAAACTTTGAATGACACACTCGTAAAAAAGGAACAGCAGCTCAATGACAAAAAGGAAAAGTTGTCTAAGCTGCAAAATGTCATTAGTAGACAAGAGAAGGAAATAAAATTATACGCCACTTGTAACGTATCACTTAAGAGGAAAATAAAATGGAGCCAAAAGAAAAAGCAAAAAGTGATTAACGAATTTGACGCAATCAGACTTTCCTATTTCAAAATATGGAAAGAAGCATTCCAACTCAAAAAGTGCAAAAAGAATCTCGAGAAGGATTACTTTGCCATCAGAAATGAATTATTACAGAAAAAAATCGAAAATGAAAAACTCCTTCAATGCTTATTAAAAATTAAGAAAGAATACAGACGTCACCTGATCAAGGTGCACACATTGGTGCGACAACGTAATGCCAATTATTCCCTCCTTTCAGAGAAGAATCCAACACATAAAAGAAGGTTCCCTAAAAGACATAAGTTCTTTTTAACCCTGTACTGGGACAAACTGCACTACATGTATAACTATGGGGAACCCCCTTGGGCGAATGCACACCATTCGCAGCGTAAAAACAACGTTCTTGCAAAGAAGAGAAACAATTTGTTAGTCGTACCGAGTAGAAGTAGCCATGCTGAAAAGCCGCCTATCCGTCAGGACATTCCCCAGGTGGAGAAGTCCCAATGGGGGGAAAACGCACCTGCACCAGAAGCACCACATGCAAGTGGCAAAAACAAATACAGCGTCTTACGAGAGCATGTGCAGGTTGCACACAAGAAGGGTTCCTTTCTTCAAAACGGTCGGGGAGACTACAACCACCTCGGGGCTATCAGTCTCGGAAATAGCTGCCATAGCAACGGAAGGTACCAAACCGTGTCAAATGATCCAACTCAATTCGTTAGCAACGGTTTACGTAGACCCCGTTTCCACAAGATAAAGGGGTACCTAAGTGTTCACACGAGCAGTAGTGTCCTCTGCTTTAGCGCCTTCCCCGGAACATGTCCCCAGGTTGATTCACACAAATATGTGAAGCAAAAATGGGGGAGAAGGCAGCGCACTTGTTCCTCGGACAAGGAGAACCAATTGGACTCATCAGGTTTGGCAAACCATGGTGAGAGTGGAACCTCTCTACTTCCTCACAATAACGACTGCGACAGTGATTTGGACATGCTTAGCAGCGTTGGTAGCGATGGAGACTATTCCGAGTTGAGGGACCCCCGTCTGGCCGTCTTGCCTACAGCATGGCTTCCTCACCCCACAGATACACACCCGCATAACGCGCTCGTCACCTGCGCAGAGGACGGAAGCATCGCATTTGTAAAGATCAAAAAAGAGAAGATGACCTGCATTAAACGTTTCCAAATAGGCGACCAGAAAATCGCAGCGACCAATGTGTGCGTACACCCCACCAGCAAACATTCCTTACTCTCCCTAACAAACAATACCATCTGCTTAATAAATAACGGAAGCGGCCAAATTGAAAATTGGTACCACTCACATGACGAAAAAATAACATCAATTAATTTTTTGCACCATCTGAGCTACGCAGACGAGCTGCCCCCAAGTGGCTCCCCAGCAGACAGCCCTTTTTTTTACTCGACCAGTTTAGACAAAACGGTAAAATTATTCCATTTGGAAAGAGGAAGTCTCTACAGCTTACTTCGCGTAAACGATGCAGTTACCTGTTCGTGCAAATCAAACAAGCAGCCACTTGTCCTGATTGGAACGCGCTCAGGTTCAATCATATGTTACGATCTAAGAATCCACAACAGAGGCGTAACCCAGTCAGCACTATATCAAAAGAACATTTTTGACGATGAAATTTCCGGTGTCACTTACTCCCCAGATGATACACTAATAGCAATACAGTCCATCGGGGGAAAAACCAAATTGTTAAACGCAAATAAAATTAATTTTTTTCAGTGCTTGGAAAGACCAGATTTTTTGAAAAATGAAAGTCCCACGTGCGCCCCTGTTTTCTCGGCTGATGGGAACGAGTTGATTTGCACCTTCCCCTACACCTTAATTGCACACGATGTCGTGACGCATTCTTACGTCAGCTTTGTTAATGACGAGCTTGCTCAGGTAAACGGGGCGCACTGGCTGTCGGGCGGCAATCTGTGCACAATTCACGCGGACGGGAACGTCGCCATCTGGTGAAATTGGCCTTGCTGCTTCGCTGGCATTTTGCCGCTATACTTTGTCGCCACGGTTGTGTTTTTTTTTTTTTTTTGTTTTTTTTTTTGAGTCTTTTTTTCTAACCCGTAAAGCAGTCCCCCCTCCCGTCCCCAATTAATCCTCTCATGAGTGGCCCGAATTTGATGACACCCCCGTTTGCCTTCTACAGGCATTTCTTGTTTCGTTCCTTCACCGCTTTGTTTGTCATACTTAACTCCCTTTTGGAAGAACACCCCATTTATTCTTTCCCCTCTGCGCGAGGATAGGCTAATTGTCCATTTTTTCAAAAAAAAAAAAAAAAAACAAATAAACAGACAGGGAGACAAAAAAAAAGACATATTATGATGCCATCCCCCCCCTACGCGTGGAAGAGAAACGCCAAGTCCTCCTTGGTCAACTTCTGCATCGCGTTTCCTGAGTCCCCAATGGTGCAGTCGAACACGAGCTGCTTCTTATTCTGCAGCTGCAGGATTTTCTCCTCAACGGTGTTCTCTATGATGAAGCGCGTGGCGTACACGGTCTTGGTCTGCCCGATCCGGTGGGCCCTCTGAATGGCCTGCAACTCCGCAGCGGGGTTCCACCACGGGTCAACGATGAAGATTCGATTGGCCACCTGCAAATTCAGTCCCTCTCCACCGGCCTTCAAACTTATGAGCAAAACTCGTAGATGCTTGTCTTCGTTAAAATTGTAAAGAATATTATTCCTAGAAACCATGGACATATAACCCAGCAGTTTCGAACATATGATGTTGTGTTTCTTTAAATGGTATTCAATCAGATCAAGCATGGAGCAATATTGTGAAAATATTAGGCATTTATCATCCGTGGCATGAATCACATTTTGTACTTCTTCAAAAACGGCTTCTATCTTGGTGCTTGTCCGATATTCCTGTGTATTAATTCGGTTAATAAAACTTTTGTTAATGTAGGTAGTTTCCTCCTTACATACGATAATTTCTTCCTCATCCTGTTCTTCCACTTGGTTCATCAGATTAAAATCAACGGTCAGGGGGACATAACACACTGGACACCCCAGCGGTAAATCCTGCACACCTGTTTCGTCACTACTTAACAGACTAACGAACTGTTTTTTTTCTTTATCTTTAAATTTGACTACTGAAATGGATTTGGCTTTCTTATTTAGCTTATTTCCATCTGCTTCGTTGGGGGAACTACTCATAGAAGGCTCTTCATTGAATACGATTTCGTTTATGTCGTAGAGACTTCCTTCCTTCTCCCGTGACTCGGCCCCGAAATGGAAGGTGTGCGCCTTGGATAGGCTAGCGGCGGGGGGCCCATCACAATTACCATCAGCCGAGACATCCACATCAGCAGAAACATCACCCCGAACAGCAGCATCACCACGAGCAGCCCCTTCATCTCCATCCGTCAACACATTGTTCCCCCCCTGAAAACTCTCGATATACTGCTTCAAACATGATTTGTGAAAATTGTGGTTACACTTGGTACTGATGTGGATCTTCTTGGGCACATTCTCCAGACAGATGCCACACACGTAGTCGTTCGAAATGGCTGGGATGATGGAAGAATTCTTTTTTATGAATTTCCCCGAGGGGTCACTAAGGAAGGAGTTTCCAAACAAAATCAAATACGGATGATCTGCAGCCTGTCTTAATCTGCTCAGCAAATCGAAGATATGCGCATAGTTGTGCAGAACCGTGTTGGATTTCACGTAAGTATCAAACTGGGTCGATGTTTGTTTGTAAAGGGATTCATAAAAGTCTTTTTCCTCATTTGATAACTTATCTTTCCTAATTCTAATATTTAATGGCTTCAATTTGATGTCATTTTTTCGTTCCCCTTTGGTTCGTCTTAACAAAATCTTATCCAACACTTCATTTTTCAAATAACACATGCTCGTCACTCCTTCCCCATTGTAACCAAACAGCTGTATAGGTCTCAGGATTCTTTTATTGAAATAGTTGAAGTGATTAATCCTGGAGTGATCACAGAGGAAGCAGAATTTATTATCCTTCATTTCGTAATTTAGTAACATACATTTACAATCCTTCTTCGAACAGAAATAATATGCGTAGGGGTAAAACTCAAGAAATCGGATCAAACTATATAACTCTCCGATTCTGTTTTGTAACGGAGTTCCTGTCAAACACCAGCGATATCCTGAGCACTTCAAATTAAAAATGGACTGCGTTGTTGACGTATTTCGATTTTTGATTCTGTGTGCTTCGTCTAGAATTATCCTGTTCCAGTGTATCTGATGCAAAGCACTCTCATCGAATATGCTCGCTTCGGAATTTTTCTGATTCCTTCCTTTCCTTTTCGCCTTTTCAACCATTATCGAACCGTACGATCCAGCCGAGTCGTAAGAATCACTTGTGTCCTCCTTCTCCGCATTGCTCTCCCAGGATGAAAAAGACGACGACGCTTCTGCGTCGCTTCCAAGTTGATCTATATTAAACGATTCATCGCTGTCGCTTGGGCTGACACTTGCGTCGACTACAGTACTATTGCTTTTCCTTCTCCGTTTCAACTTTACCTTGGCGGTTGAGCTGTTTCTCCTTTTAGCCGTGGCCTTCACCTCCTTGGCCTTCCTTAACGTGGAAGAACTTCCGCCCGTTGTCCTCCTCCTAACGGGCTTACCCTTCTCCCGGCCACGGCCTACTCTGCCACTTTTGCTCCGCTTCGCTGCTCGGTCTTCCTCGCCAGGGTTATCCTCACCATTGAAGGGATCACCCACATGAGAGGCAGTTCCACCACCACTGTTGCCACGACGTGTCATCCCCAATCCTGTTGCGCTCGAAACGGTGCTGCTCCTACTACTGAGCGCCCCCTTCCCTCTTCCCTTCGATTTGGACGTCACCTCACTATGTACTTCCCCCTTCGCTACCATCAGCTCTTGCCTTATATACTTGGTCGAAACTAAAACCCTGTTAATCAGCTCAACCTTCGTTCCAAAAATATGTTTCCCCATCGTTATCAGCAGAACTTTCAGCTCCCCCATATTTAACCTCTTCAATTCCTCTTCTTCTAAGGGTCTATCACTTAAATAAATTTCCTTCAGCACCTCCTTACAGCGGCTATTCATATCGACGGTGTATAGCTCGTTTTGCAATATATCCTTGATGACTTCATTCCATTTTATGGATTTTTTGTTTCTTCCCTTTCCCTTGTGTGTGCTGCTGACCCTCCTGTCAATTACATCCTTTTCAAATCCTAAATTGCACAGGTCTATTACTCTGCTGGACGTTTTCCTCGTCAGGGGGGAATACATCGGCTTCCTCGACGCGGAGCTGCTGTCGCTTTCTTGGGCCTCTCCCCCCGAGCTGAGAAGAATCACATCGCTCCCGCTTCCGCCGCTTCTTTCACTTCTTTCACTTCTTACACTTCTTACACTTGTGCGGCTTCTTCCCCTGATATGACTCTCCCCCTTTTTGGGGTTACCTCTTTTCTTCTTCCCCTTTGTTGAATGGGCCTCTTCCTTTTTGCTCCCCTCACTGTCTCTTTTACTTTCTTTGATTATTTCCAGGAGGACATTTCTTGGAGTCGGCACAAAATTATCGTCAAACTTTTTCATAGCCACAAGTGCAGTGTCTTTGTTCTTCTTTTTTCTCTTTTTTAACTTCTCCGTTCTGACGGCATCTGGACCACAAAAGTACTTCTTATGAATCACCAGCGTGCTGGGAAGATATAACCTGCCACAATACTCACAGGAAACTTTGTACTTATTTATTATTTTTCTAAAGTGCACCTCTACCATGGCATAAGACGTAATAATGATGTCATATTTTTTCAGTTCTTCAAATGATATTTTTTTCACGCTTCCATGATACACGTACACTTTTAGGATATCTCCCTGGATGAATTTTTCTATTTCTGATTTCCACTGCATTACCGCTGCGATGGGGGCAATGATGAGTGTCTGTCCTTGGGTCTGGTTTTTTTTAGCGTGCCGAGCGTCTTCCGCAGTTTCGCCCTTGGTGTTTCCCTTCTTTCGGGGTGCTCCCTTATTAGAGTTTCTCCTGTTAGGGTTTTCCTTCTTAACACTGGCTGCATCCTCGGAACTTCCGCCCCCGCTGTTAATAACCACCACGCTGCTGTCCGACTCCTCCTTCACTTTGATTTGGCCATCCGGTGAGCTTCCCATTTTGGTCGCCTGGCCGACGCCCTCCTCGCAGCGCCCCCCTGTTTCCCCCTTTAATTGATTAATTTTCTGGCACAAAATTAGCGTAATGGCCTGTATGGTCTTCCCCATACCCATTTCATCGGCCAGGATGCCCCCCTTAACACTGGACTGTTCCTGGTTTATCATCCACGACACTCCCTCCTTCTGATATTCCAACAAATCAAATTTAAGCTCCTTCGGAATTTTCAATCTATTTTGGATAACTCGACTTTCTTGCTTAATCAGATTGATCGAGCTGAATGCTTCCTTCTCCTGATTTATCAGCGCTTCAAAACTGTTCCTCCCCTTCATCCCATTCTTTATTTCACACGGTTTGGCCGTTTCCTTTAACTTCTCCTTTTCTTCATCATCCAGTTCGTCAAATCCTCCAAAAAAAAATTCCCACTTGATGTTTTCATATATCAACTTTTCATGCAAATTGTAATTCCCCTCACACACCATTTCTTCTGAGCTGTTTAGGTACGCCTTCAAGTGTGGCTCATTTTCTTGCGTGTACAAAATGGCATAGAGGATTTTTCTGCTGCAGTCCAGGTGGACCCAGCAGCTTATAAAACCGTAGTTCCCCCTGGGGTCTTTCGTCGGGTATCCTATACGTAAGTTGTTCTTCTCGATCGCAAACCCGCACACTCGGCAGCAGCTGGATTCTACAAAAAGGCAAACATGAAATAAATGAATTGATAAATTAGAAAATAAATAAATTGATAAACAAACGAAGAGGAACATAGAACAATTAACACACAGGGGTTTCACTGGGTACACGTCGGCTTCCATTTCTCCGTCGTGCCCCCCTCCCACTCCACACAGGCTCATTTCCCCTACTTGACTTCGTGCGGTTTATCAACAACTTGGGGGTCAGCTTCAGGGACTCCTTTTTCAGCTTCAACCTCGCGATGTAATTCGTGCCAACCCAGTTCTTTAGCGCCTTCACAAATATGCAGTTCGTTTGAATTATTTCTTTGAAAAATCGTTCCTTCTTGGAAAATATTTTATCCAGGTTATCACCCATCGTAACAGAGTGTCGTGTTTATGGTTATGCTTTCCCGTCTAGTTTGAGATTACCCTACTGAGGCGCTCAGGGCGCACATGCCATTCTGCAGCGTCTTAAAAGATTCCTCTCCTGCCTGACGTAGCGGCAAAGCGGTACGGTCACTAGCTGGGTGGGGGCATACCAAACGGATCAATCACGTAGAAAAAATAAAAAAAAGGAACGAAACAAAATTGACAGAAAAACGCGGCTAGTGGGAATAGCTATACTATACTCCCGCTTCTTTTTCCCTTTCAATTGCTCAACAAGTAAGAGTTGCACAATTTGGAAAATGTTTAGATGGTCACTTATGTATCGTATGCCACATGTGCATTTTGCGATTGTGGATGAATTAGTCGACAAACAAGAGAAGAAGGGGCGTTCTTAAAAGTCCTGGGAGCGCACTTGTTGATTGGCTGGTTCCTGATGGCCCGATTGCACGTCTGCCCCTTTGCACTTTGGCAAAGAGAACAAGTCGAATTCGCGCCGGGATTCTTTTCCACAGATCAGCGGCTCCTTCCAAAAGTTAAAGAATATGTTGTGAACTACCTGCTCGTTTGTGCTATCCTCAGCCTTTACACATCGGCGACACTTTAAAATGGTTTTTCTTTATTTCCTTTTTTTTTCTCTTTTTTTTTAAGATGATCTTTGTGTCAGCTGAGCTTGGAATACCTCACCCCCCGCATTCCACAATAAAAATGTGCCCGTTGGGTGAGGGTGTTCTTCCCTGCGGAATTGTAAAACAGGCGAAGGATATATACATATCACCATAAGGTGCCCCCTCTTTGGCCTCTGAGCCCATGACTAAACGATATAAGGCATTTAAAAAAAAAAAAAAGAAAAAAAAATTCAGATTAAAATTAATCGAAAAAGAAGCAAATTTAATTTGACGCGATCGCATCTGTGACGAGACAACTTAAGTACATGTTATTGTTTGTCATCATTAAGAACGTATGAGATGACACTGGAAATCAACTTGCTGAGGCCGCGCTGTATAGAAAAATTTGTATGTCACGACTACGCGGGTGAATTTTAAGGAACAAAAGAGGATGTCACTTATCGACAACTCCTTTTCTTGCACGTTTGTGTAAATATGGACTGCCTAAATGTTTATCGGAAGAAGCATTTCACGTTTAGCAGTTCGCGCTTACTTGCTTACTGCTTACCGCTTATCTCTTTCTCTTGACCCTTTCAGGCGCCTTGGGGGAAAAAGTACCCATGTGTATATGTCACCTATAAAAATAGCTACGTGCGGATTTTTTTTTTTTTTCCATTTTTTTGCCCATTTTGGCATCCATTTTTTGTACATTGTGCTAACTGGGCCAACTTCTCCTATTGTGCCTGCTACTTTTTTTTTTTTTTTTTTTTTTCCTTTGGCTCCTTCAATGAATAGTAGTAAAATATGCTTACAGGAAAATACAGACTGTCTCTCCCCCCCAATTATGCCATACTATAAGTCTCACTTCCCTCCTCGTGCCCCCCGTTGGATGATTTATTTTGCCACATTGGGACATAATCTTACCCCTCAGGAGGAGGGTTTAAAATGTAATTTTCCGTGAGCAAAAAAATGATTTCCTCTCAAACCCATGGATATGTAAGTAATATCCACACATGGAAGTTGAATGTATAAGGTGAGCTCTCATGGGGGACACATTCCAGGAGACCAATTGTCCACACTTTGCTAAAGTTCATCTTCCACACAGAGCACCTTTATCAATCCGTCATAATAAAGAAAAGGGTCATCCGCATCCGTTTCTCCCTCCTCCTTATGTACAATCTGGCTGTATAATTTTCCGAAGTCTTTTAAAATTTTCACGTTATTATTGTCTATGCTGTACTTTAAAAATTCCTCTCTTTTGTCGTAAAAGTTTTTAAAAACTTTTAAATTTAATGGTTGATAATTTTTATTTTCCTTGGAGCTATTTTTTCCTTTCTTATTTTTGATAATTTTAAAAAGCGAGTTTTTAAAAAAAAAAGTCCATACGTCATTCCTGCAGTAGTAGCTCTTCATCTGGCCACTGATATGGACATCCGACAGTTGGGACGAATTTTCCAAAATTTCTTTCCTTACATTCTGTGAAGTGGAATGGTGGTGGGGCGCGTCAATTTGGAATATGGAGAAAGGGGGGTGGGGCTTTCCTCACACATGCGCACACGTTGACATGTAAAGATGCACACGTTCACATGGGCTATGCACCCCTTCACAGGCACACACGCGTACAACCAGCAATGCTTCCCCCCAAACCTACCGCGCAGGCCTCCTTATAGATTTTAAGTCCGATCTCCTTTTCCACGTAGAACTCATCAATCATCTGCTTAAGCGCTTCCTTCAGAGACTCCAACAAAATGGAATGGGAAAACTTTTCGTCGAATGTACCCTCGTCCATTTTAATTTATCGAGCGATTGAAAAAAATGGCTTGTTTTTTTACCTGACTGTTCATAATTTTTTTTTTTTTTTTTTTTTAAATCATTTGGCAATGTAACTTGTTCTACATTCTTTTAAAAAATCTTTTTCACATGCTGCTCATCCTCCTTTGAAATAATTTTCCTTCTTTCTTCATTTGCTGTTTGACGTATTTTGGACCGCAAATAAATGGGGCGCGACCACCATTTGGCAGTTCTATAGGAGGTACACACAAATAGGCAGGAGGAGAAGACAGCGGGGTTCTTCTCCAAATGGGCATATACGAAGTTATTGCAAATGGGGTGACAATTTTGGTGTGCATGTAAAAATATGCCTATTTTTGTGCCGACCTAGGAATTGGCCAGCTGGGGGAAAATTATTTTTCTTATCTTCCTTGCGCATAATAAAGGGTGCAATCGAATGAGCAGGCGCGCGGACGGTTCGCGGCGTAGGCCCTGGCCCCTTTCTCAAAATCGTACTGCTCGCCCCACGCATATGCGAGCAAGTAAGCCGCGTTGCCCTCAATCGTTGAGCCTTTGTGTACGGCCACCTGTTTTGGTGAATGTCAACGTGGCGCGGAAGCAGCGTGGAATAAAATATGACAACTTGATGAGAACTGAACGGCACAAAAGGGACCACACAAAACGAACCGCGTATAAGGAGGCGAGTATAACAAACCGCGCCAAACTAACCACACAAAATGAACCAAAAAGAATCACTCGTTTAAACGCAACTGTCACATAAAATGATGCAAACGTCCCATTAACGAAACACAAAAGAGAAATTGCGACATGCCTAAACTTCGGTCCCGTCCTTGTAATTTTTTCTTTTTTTTTTTTAAAACCCCATGGGAACACCATTTCCCTTCCTGCGCCCTCCCAGTCTCACATTTAAAGTTGGAGCTTCCGTAGTCACATAAAAAAAAAAATGTATTCATTTGTTGACTTCCATTTCTTTTATGTCCCTTCCCTGTTTTATGGCCACTTCGTTAACCTATCTCAGCGTGAGCATTTTTTAACCTTTTTTTTATTTTTTACGCGGCTGAATGCATTTACGGTGCGATTCCCCAGGGACATTTTTTTTCTTGCCGACACAGGAGAGAAATCGATTTGCATTTTATACAACGCCAGCGCTGTGTTGATGTGAATACTACTCCACTGTTGTTGCAGTTTAGAGAGCTACATGTTGAGTGAGGTCCATTTTGATTTTCTGATTTTTTTTTATATGTTCTACGCTCTCACAAGATAGGGGAAAGCACTATTATTTCCCGTTCCTTTTCCTTTTTTTTTCCTGTTCTTTTTCTTTTTTTTTGCTTTTCTTTCTGTTTCTTTCCTTTCCTGTCCCGATTGACCCGCGACAGTGTACCCAAGGTGTTCGAACAGATAGACGCTCTGGCTTACTGCACATATATTGTTCGTGTTCCCAAACTGACCCCAAATAGGTGCCCACGCGCACTGGTGGCTCTAGCCCCTACACACAGCGAGTGAATCCAATTGTGCCCATTCGAATAAGCATACTAAGATAAAATGCAAATTGAAACTTGAAAGGAAAAGCTTTTCCGTTTAATTCTAAGCCTAACGACAAATAGGTGGAGCGTCGTCAGACAAGAACACTTTGTGCACAGATCACGTATTAAAACACGCACATGACGACGCACCGACGGGTGTAACCTCCCATTGTACACCCTCGTGAATCACCCATGGAGCTGGGAACCCCAGATGTGCTTCCCGGTTACGACGCGAGCAAGAGTGCCAATGGGAGTGAAAACGCAAAAACGATCCTTTCTGACATAAATGCAAACCATAGCACGGAACGGAAAAACCACACAGTTGCACATAATAACCAAAAGGAAGGAGCCACCCATGATGGTGGAGGGGTTGGACCACCCCAAACACACAGCAACACAGAACGGGACAAAGAAGACAAGATAAAATTTGAAAAAAAGAAAAAAAAAAGCGATAAGCTAAAAAAAGAAAGAGAAAAAGAAATCGTAGTGGCATACTGGCTAAAAGGAATTGTGAAAATTTTAAATGCAGGATTAAGAAATGGAGACATCAAAGGAAGCAATTTTATAGGCAAAAAAATAGCGGAGGTGCTAAAAAAAGTGGTGGAAATATCGCACTGGAATAATGTATACGATTTGATTGAAATTATCAAATATTTGGGAAAAGAAATAATCAGAAATAATAAAATGTATTTCATCATTCCAAACATTATCAGAAGAGTGTTAACAATTATTCGCACGGAGCATTTTAAGCAGCTATACCTGTACAACAATAACTATGTTGACAATTTGAACAAAAATAACAATTTTCTTGTCGACAAAAATACAAACAAATGCATCAACAGTAAGTACGTTTACGAAAGAGAAATAAAAAATTTCGAGCAGTCATTTTCTTTTTATTTCGAAAACAATAGCAAAAAAAATACGTATCACATTCCTGCGACGAACACCTTGAGACATTCAATAATTGAAGGGATTACTGAACTAATTGCAGACATTGATACCTCCTGGGGTGAGACAGAACAAAGAACTTCGTATGATTTATTTATGGAAAATGATGTCATTTTAACCATGGGTTACTCAGTTGGGGTTGAAAAGTTTTTAAAAAATATAAATAAAAAAAAAGATGGAATTTCAGTCATTGTTGTGGGGGGAGATATTAACCGAAATGGATTTAGAATGGCCCAGTTACTAAGTGAAGATGGAGTGGACACTACGTACATTTCCGACTCAGCTGTTTTTGCGGTTATACCAAGAGTGACCAAAGTTGTTCTGGGCTCTGTGGCAGTTTCCTCCTCCGGGGGAGTAATCACCAAAATTGGGGGTTATAATATAGCGTGTTCAGCTCAGTTTAATTGCAAGCCTGTCACAATCGTGTTGCCATTATTTAAATTAATTAATGACCCCTTTTATGACCCTATCAGACAAAATGAACTTCAGCCAGGTCCACCCATGATTTACAACGACGCCGATAATTTGTATGTACGCATACCCAAGTATGATTACATTCCTGAACATTTGATAACTCTGTACATCACGGAAATAGGACCTGTCGACTCCTTCCAGTTGTACAATATTACTAAGCGGACGTACCATCCGGATGACTTGGACCTGAGTTTCGACTGAAGGGGGCACGTCGCGGCCAGCAGCAGTAGCAGCAGAAGTAGCGTAGGAAGATGTCAATTTGGAGGACAAAGGTGATGCGGGTCCCAGCGGCACACCTGTAAGTACTCGCCGCGTCTGCACGGCATGGCTCTCCCTCCCCTTTTCGATCATTTCAGGCGAGCATATTCGGCTCCCGCTTTAGCTGTAATCCCCACTTGAGCTTGTTCTTTCTTTCTTTTTTCAAATTCGTGCAAAAAATATGACCCCTTCAGGCAAAAAGGGCCCTTTCACCTGCACAACAGTAACAAAAAAAAAAATATTCTGCACAAAACTTGCACGTGCGCGGAATGTGTGTGCAAGCGGACGTCTGCACAGGGGGGTGTTTCCACTTCTGGTGCTCCATGCCCTGTGATGACGCACACGGGGATGCTCATTTTGGCCAGCAAATGCGATATGGCTGCATCTCATCCCCTTAGTGATTTTCGTCCACTTCTCCTTTTTTTTGTAAACCCTTATGTACACAACACGCGAAAATGCGTTTCTTAATCAGTGCGCCGCGCACCTCCCGTATTTATTTATTTATTTTTTTTTTTTCCTGCACAATGTATTGCACCTCCGTGTGCACACACACATCTTGGAGGTGTGTCAAGGGAGTCCCCTTTTGTTCCCCCTTTTCTTCATGACCCGCAAATGTGTGCAAAAAAGGAGGTGGAACATTGACCGGGCAAAACAGAAAAAAAAAAGAAAAGAGTGGCAACATACGTGCGGATGCGCTGCCCACGATTAAATAAGTACGTTTCTACGCCTGTACGACTGCTTCACTATATAGATTAATTTCTTGGGTGGAGACGACCCTGTGACTGGTACCCCTGTCCACTCAGTCGCCAAAGAAGGAGGACTCGTTTTCAATTAACTTCTTCGCGCCATTGATGGAACCCACTATCGCGTCTATGTTCGTTTCCAGAACGATGCCTGGGGCGAGGGAAAAAAAAATAAGAGGCTACATGACCACACGTGCGACAACTTGGAGAATTACGTGTGCACCTCCATGGTGCAGCTACATGCCCAGAGGGGGGGCAACGCAGAGGGGCGAACCGAACAAGCTAGCCCATCAGGAAAAAAAATAAAATAAAAATTCCCCAATTGGCTTTCTTGTGTTGCGTTTTGCATACCTCCCATTATGATCTCATCCAGTATGTAGTTGATCTGATAGGGGGAAAATGCAAAAAAAAAAAAATTATCGTTTACTCCCCAGTTGTGTACAATCTGGCATACTTCAACTCATGCGGCATTTTCCCATCCTACATGGGTCCCCTGTTTGGCACGTTACTTTTTGGAACTCCTTTTAAGTTGTGCTCTCCCGTTTCATTACCTGCTCGTAATTATATATCAAGTCCAACTCGCACACATTCTCGAAATTTGCATCTAATACTTGAACGAAAACCTGCACAATGGATGAAACGAGCCACGTAGAATGACAACAAAGGGCAAATGATAGTTGTATTTTCCCTCATCTTTGCTCTCCATCTGCAGAATTGATGCTAAAATTGAGTTATACCACTAGCGGCTGCTCATTAACTGCTTACCTGAATTAGGTCCAGAATACCGAGCTCGCTCTCCATAGAGTCGACGATAAAAATAAAGTACAGAGTCGCGAAGTGCCTAACGAATGTGTGCAAAAGGTATATGAAAAAAAAAAATTCCCTTGTTGAATTGTTCCACACAGCCACGGCATATATGATTTTGCATTAATCTGGATAGTAAAGGTAAGTGGCTGGGGTAGCTGTTCACATAACGCCACTTCCTTTTTGTTCCCTGTCACTCTTCAATTTGCTACTCACCTGTACACAATTTTCACATCAGGACTGAACAATTCCTCATCTTCCAAAAAACAACAGCACTCATTGGTAATCCTCTTCTTTATGGTTTCATGAATTCGCTTTGTAACCATCTGTTGCCTTTCATGGCTCTGTGGAGTCAAAAATGGGACACACGTATGTTATCATCTTGAGTGTGTAGGTATTACTAAGCGTCTTAGAGCCGGCATACACATGGATCATAGCGGGTCATTTGCTTTCCCCCTTTTCTCTTTCGCTTTTTCATCATTCCAGGTTCCACTTACACTCTCATCGTAAAATCGGAGGAACCTGGGCTTCCCATTGTTGTTTATTATTAGAACGCCTTTTATCATCTTGCCTACGCAGTGGTGGCTATGTCGCTATGGCTACGCTGCTTTGGCGACGCCGCTTCGAAGTCTTACTATAATACGCTTCCTTCCCCTTTCACTTTCTTTTACGAACTGCCGCGCTTGTTGCGCGTACGCGGGAATAACGCACATAAGGGAACCTCCAGAGTTGGCCCTCCTCGTTTTCGCGAAACTTGCAGCATAACGTGATTACTTCGAAATGGGTAAAAGGGGGGGCTATCCTTGTTAGTGAAGCCACCGCCCCAATCTGCGCCAATCTGCGTATGGCTAAAAGGACCAACAATACGTTGATTCGTTCGTTAGCTCTTTTTTTTTCCCACTGGTATCTTTGCGCGTATTTTTGCACAGTCGTACGACACGTTTTGCCTACTTTTCTGCATCAAGAAATTGCATTGTTTTGAAACCTTTTTTTTTTTCGGAATGCTTCCTCCAACGTGAGTTGCCACGGTTTGAAAAAATCGGCACAGCGTGGTGGTGGGTGCCTATGCGACGAAATTACCGAAGGAAGCGCAGTGGTACCCTTTATCTGTCAATTTTCCTAACCCCCTTTTTTGACGTGTTTGCCCACTTGGCAAGGTCGTACCCATGCATTGTAGTTCAGAAGGAGAAACTTTTCCGCGCACACAGTTTTCATTGAAATTGAACTGGAGTTAGTTGAGCTCTCCTTCACGTCAATGTGTTTGTTAATGAGGATACGCAGTGATCCGCCCCTAGGGGCAGGTCCCACCCCTCTGCTGCTCGCACGCATGTGCTGCAACGTGTAACCATGAGGAGTGCAAACAAGCCGTTAACAAGTTAAGACCAGGCCTGGGGGAGAATCGATATAACTACAACACCATCGGCTGATAACCCCCCGACAATATGGACAAAAAAAAAAAAAAAAAATTCGCCGCGCAGACTTAGACGGACAAGTTAACAAAGTGAGGGGGGAACAAATGTGGGAGGAAAAGGCGGTACAAATGTGGGACAGTGAGCTACAAATTGGGGAGGAAAAAGCCGTACAGATGTGGGAGAGGGGGCTACAAATTGGGGAGGAAAAAGCGGACAGATGAGGGAGCATAACCCGGGGAAAAAGAAGGCAACACCCCATGCAGAAACGAACTCCCCCATAAGCATCACCAAAACACATCAGATTCCCTTCAACGAGGTGTACCTCTCCTGGTATGCCTTCAGCTGCGCGTCCTTCTCGGCGATCTGGCGCCTCTTCCGTTCACACTCCTGTTCCAGGGTGGCTGTCAACTCGGAGCGAAATAACTGAAAGTCGAAATCGAGCTTTTCCATTTCGCCCTGCTTAACAAAATTGTTGTGTTCATCCTGCTTGTTCTTAATCTGGGAAGCGATCGATTCAACCAACTGATCATACTTCTGTGTCAGCAGATCTTTCGTCTCATTTATTTTAGCCTCCGAAGTTGTTTCCTGTTTTACCAATTCTAGATGAAGAGTCCCTACTTTTTTGGTGACCATCTCTAATCGGTGGTGCAAATCAGCCTGCTCATTTGTCAGACTCTTAATTTCTTCCTCCCGTTCGCTAACCCGGTTTGCACTATCGTCCATCTCTTTTTGGAGCGACTTCTGCATCTCCTCTTTCTCGTATAGATCAGAGGACAATTTCGTTAAGTGTTCTTTTAATTCCTCGTAGATCCTGTGCACATCATTTATATCGGGCCCCTCCTCCGTCTCGCGCTTTAAATTGACTAGCTGTTCGTTGGACAAATTTACTAGCTGCAAAAGTTTTGACAATTTGAAAAAAAAATCTTTCTGTTCAAGGAGTAACTTTTCTGAGTTTTCCATACCGTTTAGAATTTCTTCCTTGGTTTTTTCATTTTCCAACTTGACATTCTCTAAGTGTACCAATTCCGTTTCGTGTCCCTGCAGCGTAGCACGACATTGAGTGATAGATAGGGCTAGCGCCTCTATCCTTCTGTGGACATTGTCGTAACTATCTCGCAGCTCTGCATTTTTCTTTTTGACAGCATTGCATTGGTCACTTATCTGTGAAAATTGCTCTTGTGTTTGCTTCAAATTGCTTTTCTTTCTGATTAGCTCATCACTTAATTCTTTGATGAGGAGAGACTCCTGCTCGTTTTCTCTTTTGCTTTCCTCACAAGATTGGGATACATTAGTCAGTCCTACCTCCAATTGTTTGTAACTTTCGCTGAGTTCATTTTTCTCCACCTCCATGGCGGTTACTTCATTTTCTAACTCGTTTATCTGCGCAGATAGCAGGTCACATTTGTCATTAATATCAGAATTAATCCGATACAGATCGTTTAAGATGATTTCATTCTCGTCTTTCAAACTTTGTAGTTCATCCTTTTTTATCTTCCTTTCGTTGGACAGATTGGAGATTTCCTTTTGCATTTCTTCCATTTGCTCCTCAATTTTGTTTAAATCGATCGAACTCTGTTTCTTCTCATTCATTTGGGAGTTACACTTCTCCTTTATCATTTCGAATTCTTTTTTATATTCTTCTATCCTGGAGATCAGTTCCTTGTATTTAAGTTCCACTTGATTTTTTTCTTCCCTTTTTATCTCTATTTCTGCCTGAACATGCTCATATTCTTTTTTCAAACTTTGCACTCCTTTTTGCATACTTATGATGTTTTCCTTTGTGGTCGTAAGTTGGCCTGTCTTCTCCACAAGCAATTCGTATGCTCTGTCAAAATTGGTTAACTCATTTTCTTTTATATTTTTTAATTTCACATTCATGTTTCCATTCTGGTCACTCAGATCACTAATGATGTTTTCATATTTGATAAAAACATAACTCAGATTCGTCGTCGTGTAATCGAAGTAATTTTTAATTAACTCTTCTTCCACTTTTAACTCCCTGTTCCCTTCCTTTATCAGTCTCTCCAAATCTTCCGACATGCATTTTAAATAAGAAAATTTTTTCTCTATATTATTCAATTCGAACTCTGTTTTCGATCGCTTCTTCAGTTGCTCGCTGATGATAATGCTGATGTCCGTTTTGATATTTTCAAATAATTTTATTTCCTTTTCCTTCTGTTTGTTGTTGTATCGAGTGTCCAGTAAATGTGTTAGGGAGCCTCGTGGCCTCTTTGTCGTCTTTTCCATGGTGCGTGTAATAGTGAAACTGACTCCTGTAACGATTATACCGTCTCAAATTATTCGCTTCGTTCCCCTCTCACGGACGTGATAGCTTACGCGAAATTGGTTACAAACTGGAAAGGGCTCAAAAGGTGGCCGTGTGTGTGTGTGGATGGGGGGGTAAATTTCCACAGCCTTTACACTTAACACCGGAAGGGAAAGCGCTTCACCGGGGGACACACAGAATACACATGGACGGTCTTCCCCTTAGCCCCAGTCAAGCTGCTGCCCTTTTTCTTCCTATTTTGAATGCCGCACCGGAAGCTATGGGTTTATCACGCTATGCAAAAGAGAAAAGAGAAAAGAAAAAATGTTTTCCCCCGTGGGGTTAGGACAACTGAATGAGCAGGGGCACAAACAGCGGGAGAAGTCATCAAGCTCAATTGCGCAAAGAACAACATTAAGGAGGAACAGTGAGGAGCAACTTTTATCGGGAAACCTCAAGGCGCCACTGCTACACGTCGCTTTGCCTTCTTTTTCTTCTTCCCCCCCCTGGCCAGAAGCGTACATACACCACTTCTACCAAACACACATGCAGACCTTGCGTGGTGCACTGATCGTGTCTACACCTCCCCCGGGTTATCCCTAACAAAAGGTACTTATGCGAAAATTGCAAGTTGCCATACAAAAGGCAACAAAAAAAAAAAAAAAAAAAATCATCCAATCGTTATGAATTATGACCACGTGGGGGGGCGAGCAAAACGTGCTCAGCAAAAAAAAAAAAGAATAATAAATAAATAATAAATAAAATAACAAGTCCGCACAACATAGTGCAAAATGAGAAGGAAGGGCTAAAATGAAGGTAAGAGGTGATAGCGAAGGGTGGAAGCGAAATAGCGACACCATCACGTAAGCAGCACACCCAGTAGGCACAACTGGCGACTTGCTGATAGGGGGCCGCTCAAACCGCGTGACCCTGTGTTCGAATATATGGGTCACTTGTCAACGCATCGGTGAATGGTATGAACGGAGAGGCATTCCTCGGACGGAAATAGGCGACGAGGTCGCGTACGCATAAGAAGTCAGATAGGTAAATGTGTAAGGTCCCTTTGGAGTGTCATATGGGGAAGACACTGCACAGGTGTGTAGGTGTAAGGTTGCAAAGTTTATCCACACCCCCCATGTTCACGTCAGCGTGACTGCATGTTCACGCGTACGTGTGTCCATGTGGACGACGGCTCCGCATTCAGCGAGCGGTCATCCCAGCTTCTTCCGCCAGAGGAAAATCTCCTGCTTCTTAAAGTAGCGGCGCTCGTCCTCATCCACAATTATCAAATTAATGTAGTACTTAACGGAGAACTTGTTCTGAATGTTCTTATAAGTGGGGGTCAAGTCGAAGCCACTTAAATAGAGCCTCACCGGAATGCATTCGGACTTTATGGGAGACCCATCCATAATCTCAAATTTAGACAATGTTACCGTCTCTGTGGTGTAATTCTTACCGACCCCAGATGTCTCCATTTTTATAATGTCCAGCTCCATATGCTTTATTTTAATCCTAACTAGTAAAAAATAAACCTTACCAACAACAACATCCTTCAAATGGTACTTAGACTTATCATATTCGAATTCTATGTGAAGACAGTCTTCAATCCCTACCTCCATTTTAATAGTGCTGTTGATCTCTGGAGGGATGCACAAATTTTGTACGATAAAATCTATCTCCTTTTGTATGTTCCCTGAATATCCTTTTATTATATTTAATCGGACAAAGTAGCGTAACTCTACATTGGTTCCAAAATAAGATTCATGCTGCTTGTCGACTGAGGAAAACTTCCACTTGAATTGTTTGCTTTCTATTAGAAACCCCGGGGGCTCTAGATCCTTCGATATAGAGAAGAAGTCATACGAGTTGGACTTATCATTTAGGATGTTTATCTGTCCAATCAATTCTAGCTTAATCCCGTAATGCTCAAACTTCTTTCCTGGCTTTAAACTGATCGTAGCCACTCCGTTGATGTCTTCTCCATCCGAGAATATGGGACACTTGTCTCCCTTTTTGTCCTTTCGCAAGAAGGCGAACTTCCGGCTTCCTTCTGCGTCTATTTTGAGGTCTATCGAGCACACGCTCCCGAAGATGTTGGACAGCTGCGCAGGGAGGGGGCGAAGGGGGGGCATATCGTATAGCGGTATGCATATGAGCAGTTTAGCCTGCCACGGTTTAGTATGTCTTCTTCACGTGACGCAGCTTAGTCTGCCTTTTTTAGGTAGCGCAGTTTACTCTGCTTCTCCACGTGACGCAGTTTACCAAGGCATGCTTACCATCGTGACACCCCCACAGCTCAGAATCAACCTGGCGCATGCGAATATCCCCTGGCACCAAGTCGTATCGATAATCCTACGCCCGTTCAGTGATGTCCCACTCTACTGCACCGGCAGGGGTTTCATATGGGAGCACATCAAAGCAGCGGGGTGCTTAAATGGGTAGACACAAAAGGGGGTCCAATCACATATGCAGGAAGGGGCTCAAGCCCTCATGGCCCTGAGTATGCACCGGGGGCGTCCACTTGGTCTGCTTCCCCTTTCCGCGGCTGCGGTAGGCGCGGTATGCAATGCGGTATGCAATGTGGTATGCAATGCTATATGAACTACCCTATATGTACAACCCTATATACAGTACGCTCTGCAGAGGGAAGTGGTGCCCTGAGAGGTATTCACATGCCCACGCATACATACACTCCAACTTCTTGGCTTCTGTGCTTCTCCACCTCGCAAGCCTACCTCCCCGGGATACACTAAATAGGGAAAAAAAAACAAAAAAAATGGGTCAAGTTATCCTTCAAAAGGTAAAGGTAAATATCAAGCCGTATATCTCAACAGCGCCTGCGATGCACACATCCCTTAGTTCTTTCCCCCTTCCCAATTTGCACGAAAAAAAAAAATTAGAAACATGAAAACACTAAAGGAGGTTTAAAAAAAAACAAAACTGGAGGGAACAGAATGAAGTAGGTATGCGAAACGATCCCTTTTAAACATACAGCAGTGAAACTCCCCTGGTCCTTTGACATCAAGCTGTCAAAGTTAAAAGGGCGCTTTTCTATGGTACTTTTGCATATGGATCTTCAGTGCACCCAAAATGTGTTATCTGGGCGAAATAGCGAAATCGAATTTTTTTTTTCTTTTTTCACCTTGCCCTTCAGGTAAAATATAGGAAAAAAAAAAGAAAATAGGCCTCCCCCCAAAAAGAAGCAGATCCAGCTAAACAAATGGAGATGGCAATTTCCTTTTCTCCTAACAAAGGAGCACCCTTTTAAGCACATTGGAAAATAGAAAAATACGTTGGGGAACCCTAATCGGAATGTGCTACTTCCTACCTGGCATGTTCCCACACCTTTAAGCGCACTTCACGGGAAAGACCGTTTAACGAAAATGGCGTGAATGCAGACGCGTGGTGACGAAGCCACCAAGGGCATGAATAACAAATAGAACTTTCCAAGCTGAACAAGCGATGCTCAGACCGTATATCGTACCAATGCACACTTAGGGTGGGGCTTCTCCCTGTTCTGGTTGCACACCCCACATACAGAATAGTTGTAGTTAAGTAGAGTGAAGCAGAAAATATTTTTTAAAAAGAATCAAAAAGAGCTTATTAAATTATGATATCGTTACCGTCGTTTTATTATTAAAAGAGGGCATCAAAGAATCGTATATGATATACGACACATCCCCGCACGTGTCCATATTACACAGGGATGCTATGATGTAGTGGGACATTATCATACTGCCCCTACATAAATGGAAAGGCCAAAAAAAAAAAAAGAAAAGGGAATATCGTACCAGGGGAGTGTCGGTGGTGAATGCGCCTAATGGCAACGAAACGGATAGGCAACTAAACGGATAGGCAGCTAAACAGATAAACACATATAACTGCAGAAAAAAGGGAAGCACAAAAAAAAACAAACGAAGTTAAATACGCTTAAAAAATAAATACTATGTCTTAAAAAAAAAAAAGGGGTGCCAGAAACAAATTCTCACGTCAAACCTTGTTCAAAGAGTGATGTATCCGGTTGGGGTCAAAATTTTAATTTGACTGGGTAAGAAGGGGGGGCCCGCCACATACACATACATGCACGTACATAATATATTCGCTTACACATAGTTACACATAGTGAGGCACACTTCGCGATACTTGCGTCTTACTCACGTACAGGGCAGGCCGCCGAAGACATTTCATCGCTTCGCTTCGTAGGGGTTGGCATAGGCGTACTTCAATTTATTCAAGTCCTTCAAATTACTCACATACACGTTTTTCTCACAAAGGTAACAAAACGTCCTTTTCCCTTTCTTCCTCTTTATGTGGTTTGTGCTTACCCATTCCGTCGATCGGCACAGCACAAGTAGCGTTGTGAGGGATGAAGACAAAAAGAGGATGTTCCTTCCCACGGAAAGGAATTTGTTTTGCACCCGCGAGAAGAAGGTGAACATGACGAGCTGGCAAAGGGGAAGGGGGAAATGGGGCGATGAGGCAGATGCCAGTGTGACGATGATGTAGACGTGATGGTGACGATGAACGGGGAAGCTATCTCGGATGATGACCAGATAAGAATCAGCTCGATAAAAGGCCAATCCCGAACCAAATTAACCACTCCACGTCCGCCAAACCAGAAGCGATCCTTAGTGACCCCCTCAAACGGACTCTTCATCACGGGGGACGCATCGCATAAAATTAACTTACTTGAAAGAAGGCCACAGAAAAAAGCATAAACTTAATGGCCGTCCTTATGATAGCTCCATGGCTGTCCAAATTGGTTCGGCATATTTCATATATCAGATTGTATTTGTCTATGTGGTAGCGGAAAAAGAAGTATAGCGAGCCGAGCGGGAGGATGAAAGGGACAGCGACACTGCACGGGGGAGTGGGAATGGAGGAGCAATGTAAAAATATGAATAAAAGGCGCAAGTTATAAGACGCGCGAGGGAGAGCGCGAAATAAATCGAGCAAAAGCGAAAAAGCGCCCCACCAACGCAGATGGCTACGAGCACACTGAAACGATGGGGAGGCCTAATCCACAGAGCCAACCCACAACAAAGAAGTAGGCCATGTGCACACCTCTACACGTACCTAAAGGTCAATATCAGGGCCAAAATGGTGGTGTTGAATCCGTACCAGTAACCAAAATCAAAAGTCCATGGACTTGTTTCCTTCTTCGTCACCGTTTTGACGATAGATCGAACTGGGAAAGGGGGAAAGAACGGGAAAAAGTGAAAAAGTGAAAAATCGGGCGAAGGGGCGCATTGCACATTGAAAGGTGGATCCTTCCGATGGACCGCACTGCGGGCAAGCATTTCGCGTCAGCACCACGAGGTGGTTATCTGCACAAACGGCTGCTTATTTGGACGCCCCTGTTCGGGGTGCATATCGGGCCTTACTTGAAAACTGCGGAATCTGAAGCAACTGATTTGCACACGTGAGGAAGCAGCAGTGAAGCAAATATCTCATTGCGAAGAACCCACTGGAGTTGAAAAGGTAGGCCCCCAGGCGGGTGGACCACTGGCCTATTTCGTCCGAATACATAACCTACGGAGGGAGGGGAGGGGCAGTCGTCCGGTGTGCACGCGGTTAAGAGTGTCCACGCGGGTTGAAGAGGGCATAGGGGTTATAGCGTATCCCTTGCGCGCCTCACTCGACGCGATCGTACCTTTATGAGCGAACTGAGCGGAGACAACGACAAGAGGGGAATAATAATCGTGTTCAGAATTAAGAAGATAAAGTTCCCCTGCAGCACATAGGTGTGTTCGCTGGACTTCCTTATGAACCCAATGGCGATGGAAACGCAGGCGATTAGGGCCGGCTGGATGATACTGTTAACCAAGATGACGATGAAGGGGGAGAGCCAAGCTGCGGGGGGAAGGAGAGGGAGAGCAAACATGTGTTGAGGGTTCACCACGTGGTTAATCGGTTGCGGTGTTAAGCGGTTACACCGTTACGCTGCTATGCGGCTACTCCGCTCCTTGGCTTACTTATGAGAATGGCGCTGAGGTTGCCGGAGCTGGGGTCCTCCTGGCGGTATCTCTTAATCTTCAGCTTCAGGATGTTGTCAATAGATGTGACGGTCAAAATGATAATCGTGTTGGCGAGCAGCAGGAGGGCATTAAGTATAATAAAACGCGCACAGACCTTGTAGCTGTGATTTTTCAAATTCTTCCATATAATGTCATAATTGGGAGGGGCATTTGATATGATCCACTTGCTCCTTCCCGTGAAGGGGATGTTATGAATGCAGTCATGGACAGACTTGGTGTCGATAAATGAGACGAAGCAGACCCCCGTGGACTTTTTAGGAGTTTCATTTTTTATGGAATAAAATTTAATCAGGTGTTCTTTAAGTTTTTTTTTCCAGTGACTTTTTTTATTTTTCTTAAAAAAGAAGAATAATTTATGGAATATATTTCTTTTTGACTCGGATCTGTATCTATTTTTTTTTTGGTAATTTAAGTCCAGGTTATCATTTTCCTTGGTGGATAAATTCTCCAAATCGTAGAACAACATTTCGTTGTTGTTACTCATCAGATTTTCATCTTCAATGTCTAGTTTGTATGTGTAATTTTTGTTTGAATTTTTTTTCTTCTTCATTTTGGTGCTTTGTACATGGTCGTCTTCATCACTGGTATCTTTTAGGAAACTGGCTTGGTTTTTCATTCGACTTCCTTTCCTTCTTCTACCGTCTTCCTTCTGTTCTTCCGCCTTCTCTTCTCCGTTCATTTCTGACCTCTTGTTTCTTCTCTTGCAGACTTCTTTTGTCAGATTCGCGGCTGCCACATTCTCCCCTATCGTTTGTCCATAGTACGCTTCTCCGTCCTCGTTGCACTTGGATCCTTCTATATCGCTTCCCAGGTCGACGAAGGCGCATGGTTTATTCTTCTTCTTTTTTTTCTTCTTGTTCTGCTCATTCTGACTTAATTCCTCCGCATGTATCGCTTCACACTCCTCCGCAGTGTTCCCAATTTGGCAGCTTGTCTGATCCTCCGACGGGTTTACCCATTCGCGGGCCACTTCTCCCCTGGGGCGACCTGCCCCCTCGATTGGGTGCTTCTCTGTGGTGTATGTTTTCTCCTCCGTGTCAACCTTTGCAGTGTTCTGTGCGGGCGTGCCTCCTTCCTTTGTAAGCGGACCAGTAGGTGTGCATCCCCCCGGATGGGGCCTCTCCGGGTTGGCATTCTCCCCATCCTGTAATTGCAGGGGTGAATCGGCTGAAGTGAACTTCCCTTTGGAGTCTACTTTTGGGTCCGCCTTGGGATCCACCTTGGAGCCTTTCTTTCTTCCGAGAAGTTTCAGCAGGAACCGCTTTGACCTGTCCCGCTTGATATTCTTCTTCTCCTCATTCTCCTTGAGCATTTTCAAATTCTTCGTGGCGTTGAAAATCTTCTTCTGCTCATGGTAGACAATGGAGTAATCCAAAATGAGGTAGGCAGATACCACTTTATTATTTGTCAAATTGCAAAAATACTTGTAAATATTGTATGCATTTATTTCATTCTTATCGATTCTAGAAACCATGATGGTAAAATTCTGAGGGAGAAATTTCTTCGTCTTTTTCTTGCTAGGCTGAATTTTCTTCCAAAGCAGATAAATAAAAGTGTACGAAATGGCACTATATATTATCGTAATGAAAAACAAAATCGTCAATATGTTGATGTCGGAGATGCTACCAGCACTTATGTAGTGGAAGAACGACGGATTATTAATATCATTTCTTGGAAGGGACAGATAAAGTGGCAACACGAGAAAGGTTCCCAAAATGCACAGTGAGAAGATAATGTTTCTATTTGCCTTCAAAAAAAAGAGATAATACTTTATTTCTGTATTAACAATTTTGTCGTCTTTTATATTTAAGAAGGTTCTGAAACGGTTTCTCTTCCTTCTCTTGGTATTACTTTCTTCCTCTTTCACGGTGGATGATTCCTTGTCCGCCTTTATTTCACTATGGGTCTGGTTATTAAGTACATATATGTTATCGCTTATTTTATTTTCATCGCGATTTTTTCTTAAGTATAACCATATGCACACACAGATCGCAAAGAACACAATGTCAAATAGGAATGCTATGATGAAGTCTTCCGTCTCGTTCTTCATCTTTTTGTATTTCTTGGGCTTTATGGGCATTAGCTCCGACATTTCTTCCTCTCTTGGTTGTATCCAGCGTTAACGTGGGGGAAGAGCGCGGACCGTAGCGGAGTCGACTCTTCTCCGACTACGTCACCGTTTCTGCCAGTCACAACGGCGTTGCAGAGGTCCACCCCCCTGCACAGATCAGTAACGACGCTGATATCGAGCACGCTCCTTTGTCTTCTTCCTCCCCGGGGAAAAAAATCTCGAATCAAAGTTAACCACTGAATTGGGGGACTCTGTCGCGTTACAAATCCTACTGGCACATTTTTCTTCCTTCTGTGGAGTGCGTGCGGGGTGGGGAAAGGCTCCTATGCAGCTGCGCCAGGTGTTCCTTTGTACTTTACCCACTTTACGGGCCTTTCTATTCTTTATGAGGCGTAATTTGGGCTGCCCTCCCTTGGCATTTTCTATCACGTGCTGCCTACGGTGGGCTTACGCATCTCGGAATGGCGCTCTCTGCCCCCCCACACACTTACTATCCTGATTCGCGTCACTTCGGGGAGTCGTGCTACTGTTGCACCAGGTGCGGCGGATAACTTTCTATTGGTTCTCCTCTGCTGATGCTACCTCTGCCGCTACCACCTTAGTTGCTTCTAATGGCACACCTGTTCTCCCCACTCGGGCGGTATGTCAGTGCGTTCCTCTTCCAGTATTCCCCTCAGCTGCCACTTTCATCCTTCTGGTTGCCCCCTCTCTTCACCTCCTGCACTTTTCCGAGTGGTGGGCAGCCCTTTCCCTTTCCGCTCAGGTACGTATATGTAATACAACACTTGCGCTCTGCCCTTGGCAGCTTAACCAACAGGCGAAACAGAAAAACAAAAGGGGGCGCTCCAAGAGTAAAACGATGTTAACGATAAAAAATGCTACGCAAAGAACAAACAAAATGGCAGTTTCCATCAAATGGTTCTCTATCTTAATCATTTCCTTCCAAACCTTTTTTCACGTTCACGTCTTCGCGTTTCAGCGTTATGTTTTATGTTTATTTTATTTTCATTCATTTCGCCTTTTCTTTTTATTTATTTATTTATCTTTCTTTTCACAATGGTGCTTCACCGTGTATTACTAAACCGTTCAGATTTTTTTTTTTTTTTTTTTTTTTTTTTTTTTTTTTCTTCCCCTTCGCTAAATTTTTTCCCCTGTTTCTGTGGTCGCAACTGGATAGGCGGCGAATTGGCATGCGGTGCGAACAGAAACTGGGCAAGGGGCGATTTACTCTTTACGGGCTCGCCCCACGTTTAGGCCACTCCGGCGGCACACTTGTGCGAATCAAACGTCATATACAATACCACATTTCATGTACCCCTTTATTGGGGCATTTTTTTTTTTTTGCCACCAACACGGATTAATTTGAAAAGATGACTCTTCCTTCCCCTTAGTGATGAGGAAGAAAAGAAAAAAAAGGTTGCCGTAATTCGAGGGCATCAAAACGAGAAAAGAACATCTCAAATGAGAAGGACGAAATGCACGTTGCATACGCGATGCATACATAGGCAGGGCAAGACTACCGTCTGTTTGGCGTAGGAATTTCTGTTTGCACGGCGTGGATTGTCTCGCTTGCTTTGCTCCATCACTGACACAGCCCATTCGATTGTCCCCCCCCTACCCCTTGTGTGTGTGTGTTCGTGTATCCGTGTATGCGTGTGTTTGCCCATATCTACATACCTACATGCAACATGAAGGGAATTTTTAAAGAGATTGTCCCAACGGAGGATGGGGGGCGACAAGAAGACGAAAATGCGGTTTCCGCAGTTTCTAATTTTGCTGCCCACAAGAAATTAGCCAACCTGACGTTGCAGCGGTGAAAACGCATAGGAAATCTGCCATAGAACGGTGGATCATCTCCCGGGCGGAGTATAAAGTGTGGCCACAAGTAGACCATTTCACTGCACAGGCCACCCCCGGTTAGTAACATATATGGCAAAAAATAAGTTACGGAGACGAGGATAGTACCCCCCCAGCCGCAACGGTTGCTTCCACTTGCATATTCCTCTGTTAAAAAGCAAATTTATTCCTCGTGCGAAAAAGATTGACACCATGTGGAGGCTCGGGAAAAATACTCACTCCAGCTTACCCATTGTATTAACACTTTTTACAATCCGTCTGGGTAGTTGCACGTACAAAGTGGGTTTCTTCTTTTTTATAATGTCAAAATGTGGAAAGACGTGCATGGGGAAAACCCCCCCATCGGATCATGCATAGGCATACTTCCTTTTCCTCTCATCGAAAGGGGGAATAATAACCCTCTCGTGTTGGAGTAAAGTCGGGTCGAGGGAAGTCACCACGTCGCTTTTCCCCTGCAAAGTCTTGAGAACCAACATGTCATCCCCACATTTGAAGCAGTTAAACGGTTATTTAAAAAAGAAAAAAAATTGATTTGGGGAGATAAAGAATAAATGTGACGTGTGTGTAATTTCCCACGGGGGAAGATTCACACCAAAAAGGAAAGATCCACTTACCACTACCCACCATGGTGCTGATCCATCCGATTAGCTCACCACCAGATGGGAAGAGCCACTCATGTCGTTAAAAAAAAGTACACAGCTGAATTCTTAGAGCACCTTGGTGGGCACAAATCTGTGTGTGAAAAAAATGCTTATAAAAAGTTCAGCTAGCCATTTGATCTTTTTTTTTTTTTTTTTTTCTTTTATAGTTGTGTAGACCGTCGTTACACTTGAAATTTGAGTAAAGCTTCCAAAAAGGCTCATTTTTTCCCCCTTTTTTGACTTCCATCCATGTGATATAGTTCTGTTTGCGGTCAGGAGGTCCTTCCATGATGTGTAAGCTTTCCCTCGTTTGCCGTTTACCAGGTGTACGTGCTCACATGTCATCTTCAATGATGCTTTTTTTTTCTTTGTTTTGAACCGAATGAAGTGGGGACAATTTTTATTCTGAAAATTTTTCGTATCGTCAAATGCAGTGGTAAAAGATAAAAAAAAAAAAAAATAATAATAATATGACAACGATGAATGACAAAGAATGGAAAAAAGAAACGAAAACAGGAAACGAACATACGAAGCGAACATAGAAAGTAACGCAAAAATAAGGTAAAAAAGAAAAAAAAGACTACAAAATAAATGTAAAAAGAAAAAAACTACCTACCAAAGCGACGAAATAAAGAAACACCCCCCTGGACAGACCGAAAAGTGCCAACACAGGGGCCAGGGAAAGATACCTGGCTGTATCTTCACGCCTTCGGCCGGAACTTCCCCCAAGCGCGCGCATCATCAACTGTAAACACATGTGTCTAAGTCGTATGAAGAGAAGAGCAGCGGCTCTTCTTGTAGACGGTTCCAGCCACTCATGCATCTCTACCTAAAAATGAGATAACAAAAAACGCGTCCATTTTTTGCACCCCTCTGGGTATGATCCAAAACCGCGCATACAACGAATTCTACCCCTTCTTTGAGTACCCCCATTTGCAATTTTTTTTTTTTTTCTTCCTTCTTCTCGTAACTCTTTGCAACGACCCCCACATGCCACCTGCTGCATTTGAAAGGGGGAAGACACGCTCACCCAAACACATGCATGCTTGCATGAAGAGGTGTATACTTATCTGAACCCACTTCCTACCCACATGTATGCTTGCATAAATTTATGTTAAAGCTTCACCACTGCGACGCCTTCCAACAGGAGGAGCACCCATGAGGGGGCTCGCCTTCGGCTGCGCAAGCCATACCACGTGAGAGCAATCCCGCAGTGATCGCCGCGTTTGAAGTCATTCATATAAGCGTGCGCACCAGCGTCTTTGCTGCGCCGTTGCTGCGCCGTTGCTACATCGTTGCTACGTCTTTGCCACACTCTTGCTACGTGCCTGCTCCGTATTCGTTGCGCCCCCTGAGACGCACACCGGGCACGACCCGGCAGAAAAAAAAAGCAAAACGCAAACGGCCGAACCACTGACAATAGGGCACCATGAGGATCTCGCTGTGTGCACCCTTCCTGTGCCTGCTATGCGGGCTAGCGAAATGTCGGAAAGGCCTAAACTTCGATCAGATAATCAAGTACCTGAAGGAGACAAAAATTATCGCTGAAAACATTCCAGACACCTTGGAAGATGCCATCCAATTAGTTCCCCCCTACCTTATCTATAAGTACAAAGGGAAGATCTACTACCTGCACAATAATGTGGACATTACCCCCATAGAGGAGGAAAAAACGGAGTCTGTTTTTCCCATGCCAGAGAATGAGTTAGAACCCATGATTCCACTGGAGTGTCACCCGGTAGTACCAGAAGGCGAAATCCCAGTATCTCCTCTCCCAGGAGAGAGTCCCCCTTCAGGGGTGGCAGACGACACGATACAGATGGTTATGGACGAAGACACAGGAATTATGGTTCCAACAAACACTAACGTGATTATCGAAAAGGAGAAAAAAACCACAGAAGAAGCATTCAGTATCCCGAAGGAAACACAGTGGAGCAGCGAACAAAAGGAAAAAAACACGAATGTGTTCTTATTTGGAAAGGAAAAAAGCACCGTGTACAAAGTGACAGAAATTGTCCACTATAAGGAAGATAAAGATATGTGTAAAAACATCCAGATGGGTTACGAACGATTTTACAGTAAATCTCCATCGTATGGTGACGAATTAGGACAGACAGCAGATGATAAGACGCCCAAAGTTGTCCACAATGTAGACATGAAAGATTACTCCTCCTTCTTGACTGCCTTACATATACTGTTTAGGAGGGATGAAGAAATAGGAGTGCAAAAAATTTACAAAATAAATAACGTCCCCAAGATGGATCTGCAGCTATTCATTAAGCAGGCTTACAAAACTATTCACGACACCTTGAAGAACTATATCCTTGTCTCCGGGTTCAGCTTCTACGATTATAGTTACGATGTGGGTTCTTTTTCTTTGGATGTCTTTATGAATGACTTTTTTTTCCTCTCCAGTAATAACCACAAAGACAGGGGTACTTTTAAGAATGTCACCTCCAGCATCAAGTACGCATCTACTGCCAAGGACAAATTAAGTGTCTACAAAATAGAGAAAGCGATTAAGGATTTTCTAACAGAATCGAATCTACGGGTTCTAGATCTCAAACTAATTCATCATCTTTTTTCCAGAAATTCCATCCTGAACTGCACTGAAAATGACATAATCGATTTCGTGACAAACCTGGTAAACATCACAGGGGTGGATATCTCCCCCCGGATCGGAGCTACCATCATTGCGTATCTTCTTCAAAAGATTAACATATTCCTAATGCCTAGTTATCCCACCAAGACCCGAAATAGCTACTTCCTCTTGATGGAGAACAACGATCTTTTATTCATCGTGGAGTCTATCTATCGAGACATCCTGAAACACTTCTACCGTATGAGCAGCTCACAAGGGGACCTCCCGAATGCTCAGAATTTGGACAAAGTGCTAGCCATGACTCCATGGGTTGAGAAAATCTACCCCAATCTGGGAAGCACCTACGATTTCTTAAGCATGAAATATGGAGTTGCTCTCTTTTACAACACGTACCACATGGTAGTGAACTTTTTCCAAGGAGACGCCAATATGAAGAAGATTCTACTTGACCACAAGGATTCTAAGAAGGTGGACACGCTGGACAAATTTCTGAACGAAGTTCTGGCGCTCTTCCGCGTGGGTTCGGCCCCATCGGTGCCGTCCTCATCTTTCCTATCCATGTCCCAAGTGGAGGAGAAGCCCCGCGGGCGCGTCCTCAGCGAGGAGAAGCTAGTCAGCATCGCAGGAGATGACGGCAGCGATGACAGCAGCGATGACGACGACGATGACGACGACGTCCCCGATGACGAGGACGATGAAGAGTCGAAAGAAGCCAAGGAGGCGGAGGAGGAAGCCACCGCGGATGAAAACCACGCAGATATATACGCACGGGAAAAAGGCAGATACAATGAACTGAGACAGATCGTCGAAGCGGAACTGATCAAAGAAAGAAAGGCATATGCGATAAAGAAGAACGAAGAAGAGGCAAGGAGAAAAAAAGCGGAAGCAGACGAAATCGCAGAGACGGAGAAGAAACACGAATTGGAGACCCAGCAGTTGGAAGCAGAAGAAGCAAGAACGGAACCAGAGGACGATGCGAAATATGAACAAAAATATGAAGAAGAACTTGCAGAAGACAGGGAATATGAGAGACGGAATCGAGAAGCAGCATTACTAGCCCGCGGCGGAAAACCCTCCATATATCAAAACGACACCCCACAATCCTTTTACTACACCAGTGCTCTTGGATTCTTAAATGAACAAATAAAAAATGCCTACGAAAAAGGACTGGATGATGCGTTCCGAGAAGTAGCCGAAATTGAAAGAAAACTGAAGCAAGTGTACAGGAAGTTCGCCCAGAAACAAGCCCCTGATTATGCCAAGGTGAAAGACAAAGTAATGGAAGAGAACGATAAGCTTTTGGACGACTTAAGCGCCAAAGTGAAGAATGAAGAAAGTAAAAAAAAAAACATCCTCGAGTATAAGGAACACATTGATACACAATTGGACAAAATGATGACAAAAAATGAAGACGGGCTGTATAACATGATCTCAGGAGATCTTAGGCACAGTTTTAAAAAGTACCAAGAGGACCTCATGATCGAAATGGGGAAAAGATTCTATGGAAAATTTAGAATCACCCTCGGGGTCAGGAAAAAAACGATACTGCAAGAATTTAGAGAGGCCCTCATGTACGCTGTCCGAGTCATGCAGGATCTAGCACCTAGTTACGATGAGGCAAAATATATCAAGACGTTCAAGGATATTTATACCCACAAAAAGGAATCTTTCAAAGTAGAGTACATTAATGCTAGGAGGATCATTTCGAAAAACATGGACATAGCTTTTAGGAAGCATATCAAACTACACTGGGAGGAGAAAGATCTGATAGTTAGGAAGGAGCTTCAAATCATTCGCCAACATGTCCTTAACCGAATTGAGCAAATCTACGCAGACCTTTACAATAATGTGCACGTCGATGTCCAAATCGATTTGGAGTCCATCACAAATGAGAAACTAAAAATGAAGAAGAGGGTGTTCCAGATTGTGAGGCAAAATTTAAATTACCCAAATGATTTGAAACTTCTCGAGGGGAATTTGGCCCACTACAAGGATGACGAAACTCCGGACGGGAAAGCGAAGAAAGAGGAGCTTAACGCCCAGATTGCTAAAATAAAACAGAGAATCGAAAAAAATAAAACGGCTGCCGCTGCACTTAGAACCCATTTTGAATCCATTTCCGAGAGGTACGAAGAGGTACTGAAAAAAATCGATGCTATAGACAGTTTAGAAAAACGATTCAGGTTCTTCCGCTTCGAAGTCGTCAAAGAGTACAGAGACTGCAGATACTTCACCGATACACTGGTGTCCCTTTCGGACAACGACGCAGGGGAGTATATCAAAATAGAGAGTATCACCAAAGAGCTGATCAGCGATATAGAACAAATCAATTACGACATTCGTGAGAGCAGGTTTCTCCTCCATGCACTGAAGAGAAAGAAGAAGCACCTCGAATTGGACGTACAAATAGGGGACAAGATCTACAAAATGGAGCACAACGCAGTTCTCAACGCAAAGAATGACAAAAAGAGGGCAAAACTGAGAGAGATACTCACCAACATACAGAATGAAGAAGAGAAGTTGGAAAAGCTCTACATCAAGAGGGACGTCTTCATGAAGGACCTAAACTTCGTCATCAGCGATAGTGAGAAGGATCCACCAGAAACGGTAAAATTACTCCTCCCAGAACTTGTTAAAAAGCAGGAGAAAAAAAATTTAGAGACCTTTATGATCGAAATTATGATCGAAACGGATATCGAAAATAATGCACTCACCAAATTGATTGAGACGTTTAATAAGGATATGCTCTTCTACAAATATCACATCATCAAGACGGAGGACTACTTGAGGTTACCCACTTATGAGAAGAACCTCGATGAGAAATTCTCCGCTCAGATGGACAGAAACGCAAAGATGTTTGCAGACAATTTAGAAAGCTTCCGAAAGGAGTTAAAAACGTATAGACAGTTGGTGAAGAAGGAAGAGGGGGTGAAGCAGCCAGATGCGCTGACTTACCTTAAGAGAAACATCGCCCATTTGAAGAATACGATTCATGCTCTACGAAACGGAACACCTATAGAAGACTTCAGTTACATTTTGATAAACCCAGATTTTTTCCAAAGTGGCGGAATTAAACATGAAGGTAGAGAAAGCCAACTAGCACAAACGGCACTGGTAAAGAGATACAAAGAGTTGAACTCTCTAGGGAAGGTTCTCACGGATACAAAGAACAGAGCAATACAGTTCAGTGCCCATTACAAGTATACCTCCGATAAAGTCCTATGGTATCTAGCCATCCTGAAAAAGTACATTGAAAGATCCGAAATGGTATATAATAACTCCTACGATGCGGAGAAGAAGTCCAGACTACAATTAGAAGAGTTCATAAAAAATAGAGCCAGGCTCGCTTTGCAAGAGCCAGTGTTACTCCAGTACGGAGGAGACATATGGGGAGGATCCTGGGGATTCGCATGGGGGGAAGCCGCCGACAAACATAAGTACCTACGTGTCGTGAAGAAAGAACAGACCTTTCCATACAAGTTGAAAGAAATTAAGGATGTCTACCTTGTAGACAAAATTGTAAAAGAAAAACTCGTCGAAACGGGGAAGCTCGACACGTTCAAGGATTACATGCACGTGAAGGTGTATAACATCGAGGAGATTACGGGCCCACCCATGACGCTGTTCAATAAGGAGGAACTCCAGCAATTGAATCTGTTGACTGCAGATGGGCACATCACGAAGGGGAGTCTTAAGAATTACCTCACCCATTTGGGCTTTATGTCAAATGGGGGATCAACCAGTGATGAAGCGCACCTCCCCGCCATCCTCCAAACAGCCGCCGACTACCTAAAAGCGAGCAACATCAGTTACGATGCCATTCTGGAAGTGCTGAAATATCTGCAGGCTACTCCCAACGCGATTAACGTGCGGGATATCATAACGTTGAGCGAAAAGATTCTGGACAATTCGAATGTCTTCTTCGTGAAGCAGGACACGCTGAGCATCTACCTTTTAACCTTTTTGGATCTCCTCGGGGTGCAGGTCAAGATGGACGACATACAGAAAAGGGACCGAAAATCCAGAGTGATGACCTACCTGAGCATTTTAAAAAGTTACTATAAAAAAATCGAAATTAAGGACGAAATGAAGAAACACGTGATGCGCTTCCTCCAACTGAATGATGTGTTCCCCGCGTTGTCCTACGATGCGAAGCTGCATGAGTTGCTGCTAGCAGTTCAGCAGAGCTTGGACGGAAACCCCACTTTGTACGAAGCGTTTAAGAAGGAGAACGCCCAATTCGCAACAGAGTTTCTGAGCGGAGTGAAGAAGGGTCTAGACGAATTCGTGGATTATATCTTCGCCAAGGTTGCGACATTCAGTACTTGGAATTTCACATCCAAGTACTACCACGTGCATAAGTACAAACCGGAAGAAACGGAAAACTTAAAAATGCGGTCCCATGATTACGATAATGGTGATTTCGACAACATGATGACATTATTCTTCTATTTCGTCAATCCAGACCTGCGTAACCTGATGAACGAGTATCCCATAAAAGTAAATTTCTCCTGTCTGGACAAATTCTCCACCTTCGATTTTAAGGAGATCTTTTCCATCACAAATGACACTAAGCTGCATCAGCTGTTCCATGAGAAAATGCGACGATTCAAATACGGACGTGTCCAATCGTTAGTATACATATGGAGGTACTTATTAAATCGCAATAATAAGGAGTTCTTCACTTACGAGAAGGTCCGTTCGGTCGTCGAAAGATACTTTTCGCACAGCCTATTTGATGATAACACTCGTGCGATGCTTTCCAAATTGGCCTACTCCTTCTTAGCGAGAATATCCTACCACACAGTGTCCTACTTCGACATCCAGATGGAGCCTCTCATCCAGGATAGCGATCTGGAGCTGATTTCCCTCTTCCATAACATTCTAAATAAGCTGAACTTCCTTTTATATTGCACCAACACGAAACCGTATCTAGAGCGATACGCCCCGGCGAACCTACTCTCGTATAGCAGACCGTTCAAGTTAGATGCATTGAAGATTTTCCACCACTTCGTGAATTCTCTTCCGCATTACTTACGCTCCCACGTTGTTAACTTCTTCGAGACGGACTTCCCCGAAGTAACGGAAAAGCTTCTGATCGATCTGTTTAATCACTGCAGGTCCTTCCTGAATGACAACGGGGTCTACTTAGAATTAGAAAGCGAAAACAAAATCGAAACTTTCTTCAAATTGAATTATTTCTTCACCAAGAATAAAAACGTCCGGGATGGAAAATACGAGTTGATGCTCATTGAAGAACCGGAACTTAAGGAGGCAAAACTTATCTTCAATAGGAGAGTCAAATATGATCATGTTAACAAAAAAATGAACTACCGTGAGACCCTCGACTTGAAAGATGTCATAGACGAGAAATCATTTAAAATGCTACTCCAGATTCTGATCAATGAGCAATTCTCCTTTGATGAAGTAAATGAAAAATTTAGAAATTTCATGAAAAAAAATAAATTAGTCTTCCCAAAATTTTACATGCTAAAGAAGACGATTATCGAGAAGGCAGATGATCTGTATTACCTGAAGTTGTACAAATATCTTTACGACACATTTCAGAAGATCCATGTTACGCAGCCGATTAACGATTTGTACTTTCTCTTTGTGAAGGTCCTTCTTGATTATTCTGTTGCTCCGTTCAAATTCACCAACGACCACGTGCAACAGCAACTGAATATACAGCTTGGACGCAAGTATCAAAGATATATACACTTCCTGTCGAAGCTCTTCCCTTGCCTCTTTAACTTCTACTACTATGACGATACGGTTGACTGCCAAGATTTTGGAAATTACATCAGTGAGGAGGAGTTCTCCCCTGAGCAGAAGATGCTAAACATTCTGCAGACCCCGTTCATTCAGCTGCCACAGACGGTACAGGATAACCAAATAAATTTGGACTACCACATAAATGAGGAGAATCTCTTCGTTGACTTTATTAAAGAATTCATTCCAGAGAGTGAAAAAATGGATCAGAATCAGCTGCGAGTAGAATCTTTCAAAATCAGATACTTCATCACGGAGATCTCCAAATTTGTCATGCGAAATGTTATGTCCAAGATGCCATCCTCCTATCTCTTCCACATGGGCTACAAAGACTTCTACATAAACGTCGATGATATAGTGAACAATCTACAGCCATTCTTCGAACAAGTTCGCAAAGTGAAAGCACCATCCGATGAAGGTAACTCCTCCTACCGTGTCATCAGTGGAACTATAGCAAATTTCATGGACACCAACAATGAAGACGCCGCTTCTTTCCGATTCCAGAATATCAAGTATTACCTTAACAGCCACGTCACGCAACTCTTCCTCGAGAATAACATGTCCTTCAAATACTTCATCGATTTCATCAAAAATATTGACAAATTTAAGACCTACTTCCCGACCCTCTCGGAGCTCTACGTCTTCGTTGACAAGCACGTCAACATCATCAACGCGATTACACACCCGAATTTTACGGAGCGGGCCACTACCCAGCGCGTCATCCAGATTTTCGTCGACACGCTGAAGAACTTCGGTGTCGACCTATACGAGGTTTAGCCAGAGAAGCGGCATAACCAGGAGCGGCATACCCGTATAGCGCTAACGCGGTGATTAACGGCAGTTTGAAACTTCTCTGAGACATGCTCGCGCCGCCTTTTGTACCATTTTTGTGCTTCCGCCCCGCTTTACGAGAACGGCACCCCGTTTAGCCATCGCCTTCATTCCACCGTGTCTTTTCCACCGCGTTCATTCCATCGCCTTCTTTACACCGCCTTTTTTCCACGCTGCCGCTGAAAACGGAACTTTTTCTGCCTCCTGACAGAGGCACCGAAAAAAAAGGGACACCACCAAAAAATAAAAAAACAAAATAACAAAGTAAAAATTTTAATATTAACAGTTTCGCCAAAAAAAAAAAAAAAAACGTAGGCGTGTAAGATATCCCATAATGGGTAGGAGAACAAAAAAATGACAACAAAATGGGAGCAAACCAGGGGACATAAACAACCTCCCCACATGAGTCATAATCACTAAAACAAGGTCATCATATTCTGCTGCTCTCGGCGCGATCTTCACCAGGGAGAATCCACGTGGCCTAGAAAAATTATCCTACTTGCCACCCCTTCCTGGTGATAACCGTGCAAAACCGGCCCAGCTAGGACTTCTTCATTCTTAACAGCTGCCTTCGCTGCTTCCGTACGAAAGACTTCCCGCCGATATTCTTCTCCCTCTGAATTTTTGTGTACCTCTTCACGCACCAGTCCTTCATATCTTTGTCCCTCTCCAATTGCTGCAAAGCGGACAGGCATTTCTTCTGGCGCCGGTTCGACGTATGTAACGACTGCGATTCCTGTCCGGCTCCTACTTTTATCTTATCGTTCCCATTCACTAAGGTTGCCACTTGAAAAAACTGGGGCATCTTCTCATCCTTCTTAACCTTATGGTATTCATTCTTTTCAGCCAAATTCTCATGTTGTATTAATTTCCACTGTAGCTTTAACTCGTCCGTTTTTTCCTTCCTTTTCATATTACCCCACTCGTTTAACTGTTCCTTTTTGTTCTTCTTCTCCCTCCTCTTCTTCGCGATGATGTCGTTTACGTGATCCAAGACGGACATGGGCTCCGCCTCCACCGGCTGTAAAATGGCAAAGCTGCTCTCCCTCTCTGTCTGCGCCATTTATTTGCTCTATCTTGGTTCCACGTTGCTCCTCATGCCCAATGATGGAGACCGCCTTAAATGCGCGCAGGGTGGAAAGAATCACCGAGGCCGCCTGATCTGGAAAGAACTTCCCCCCTTTCTTTATGCAGAATTACTCACAAATGGGTGAAAAAATCGGTGGGTTATGCGCCTTTGTTTGAAAAAGATGCTTAAAAATGTCTCCTGTCATTAGATCCGCTTTGCTTTGCTTCGTTTTTCTTCTTTTTTTTTCTTTTGCCTTTCACCTGAACAGTGTATGTGAAATGGGGGCTACAGCTAGCCAAAAATCGAGAAAAAGCTAGGCAAATTGTTCTCCCAGAATAACGCAAAAAAAAAAGGAAGAAGAAGGGATACTAATGTTAGCAAATGTAAAATGGTGACCTTCCGCTTCCCCTTTTTCCAGTCGGATTTCTTCTCCCTGCTTAGTGCTTCATCCTTTCGGCATACATAGAACACCGCAGTGCGAAGGCGAGCACGCAAAGAAGTATATGCCACTTTTAAGCAGGCCCACGTTACCCTATGCGGGTCACTGTTACGTTATACTTATGCACTGCGCTGCTAATTAAATATATACTTCCGTGGTTTTGGAAAACCCACACCACTTTATACCTTTCTGGAGAAAAAGAAATTCCCCGTCGGATACTTTCCCGACGCTTCATCGGTTAATCGCCAAAAAAAGAGGAACTTCCTCACCTGGCCGGAATTTTTCCCTCCCGCTCATTTGGAGGGGTAACCGGTTTATAATGCCCTCATTTGGCAGAGGCTGTTAAAACGTTGGATCCGAAGCTAGGGAATCCCATTTTCACCCACTGCCTGATGCCTATTGGCCGATTAAGCTACTGACTGGGATCCACCTCAGAAGGAGAATAATGGCAACTCACCTCGCCACTCGCTAACAGAGCACCCCCGGTGTCCACACCGTGCAAAGGGACAGCGAGAGATGCAGAAAAAAAGAAAAAAAAAAAAAAAACATGAACGGATAAACTGACGAAGGGACAGATGCACCAACGCACGAATGAATGAATAAACAGGGAATTAAACTCACCATTTGCCTCGTCATTTTCTTCAAAATAAAGAGTTTCCTTTTTAAAGAGGTCAACCATGCACAGACGCACACGCTGAAACGACGTTGCGGTTTCGCAACCGTAGGTAACACGCGGAGAAGGAGAAAAATCCTGGTTCAGTACATTCACGCGGAGTGGCCATCACACGGTTCGCCACAAAAAGGAGGGCGAACAAATCGAGGTAGACTTAACAATCTCACACCGCATAACCCCCCGTTTTCCGAAGAACCGAGCCAAAATGATGAAGTGCAGGACTCCTCCTCCCATAAGTGGGAAATCCACGATGAAGAAGAAAACAAATTCATCGGCAGAACCTTCGAAGGGATCACCATATACCCCCTGCAACAACCGGGTGAGGATCAGAACATACTGAGGACTAAAATACCATCCAGGGAATTCAAGCCAAAGAGAAGTTTGGGGCAGAATTATTTAAAGGATGAAAATATTATAAAGAAAATGGTCAGTGCGATTGAGCTGGATGCTGATGCTTCTTATCTGAGGAACAATCGGGTTGGCAGTCGGGAAGGGGGGGGGGCGAAGAAGGCCAAGGGAAAGGGGAAGCGAAAGGACAAACGGAAAGAGAAGCGGAAGGACAAGCGGAAGCAGCCGAAGAATCGGACCGAGCACGGCTCAGATGACGACGGCGACAAGGGAGTTGCCGAGGCGAATGAGAGCGCCGTGAACCCGGATGATTACGCTGCGAACCCGGATAATGACGGTGCAAATCCGGATAATGACGCTGCGAACCCGGATAATGACGCTGCGAACCCGGATAATGACGCTGCGAACCCGGATAATGAAACTGCGAACCCGGATAATGAAACTGCGAATCCGGATAGCCG